TTTACTGCCATCTACTGATCACTTGTGCAGCTGCTGGGTAAAGTGCTGAAGAGTTTAGTTATCAAAGGAGGTTTTTTCCTATTTTTCATACCAATGCATATTTTAAGTATTACTTTTTATTGTTGTAGCTGTATTTTTAAATAAAATTACTATTAAAAGAAATCAAACCATCTCTTCCTTTGTGGTACACAATCTGCTTGGAATGTCCTGTGCCAAGATATTCACTCTGAAACTAAAGTCACCTTTGGACGGCCTTGGTACCAGGCTGAAGATGAGACAGAAGCAACGTTGTGAGGACACATCCTTTGGCATCCTTTGAGAAGCAACTCCACACCAGGACAAAGAGGCTGAATGCCAGGATAAAAAATAAATACTGTGTACATGTGTGTATGTATATATTGTATTTATGTGTATATACACATACAGATTGCTTAAAATTATAAATTATAATATACACATATACATATAAATTATGATACACATACATACACAGATATACATACACACTTGACTTTTATACAGAAGTTTATGAAGAAAGATAAGCTTGAAAGAACTGATTGATTGATTGACTCAGTCACCCACTGAGTTTCTCCAAAGTCCAATATTTCAACCATTACATTGTTAAGTATTGCTTTTCTCTATATAATTATGTTAATTGTGAGGATTTCTGCATTATGTGTTTATCATCTTGTTTTTTAAAAGATGTTTTTTGTTTCAAGTTGAAAGGGGGTCTCATAAATATTTTAAATAAATTCCCCACAAATGTGTAATTTAGTATTAAGCATTGATTTTATTACTACCACCAACTTTAAAATTCATGGAGGATAAGGCAATCATTTTCATTACTCCTAATGCCTACTTCCAATATCAGAAACTTACCTGTCTCTAATTATTGAGAAAATATGTATGTGTGCACCAGGGGTGAAATGCTCCCGGTTCGGACCGGATCGCGTGATCCGGTAGCGATGGAAGCGGGTGGCTCGGAGAACCGGTAGCAAAAATCCCTGCCCCCCCCATGCCCAGCTGAGCCGCACAATCATCAGAGGCTTTTTTTTTTACTTTTAAAAGCATTTTTTCTACCTCTTCGGGCGAAAAAATGCTTTTAAAAGTAAAAAAAAAAAGTTTCTGATGATCGTGCGGCTCAGCTGGGATTGTCAAAGGCTTTTAAAAGAAAAAAAGCCTCTGCTGATCAGGCAACTCAGCTTGGATCGTCAGAGGCATTTAAAAGAAAAAAAAGGCTTTTTTTCTTTTAAATACCTCTGTCGATCCAAGCTGAGTTGCCTGATCAGCAGAGGCTTTTTTTCTTTTAAAAGCCTCTGACGATCCAAGCTGAGTTGCCTGATTGTCAGAGGCATTTAAAAGAAAAAAAGCCTCTGCCGATCAGGCAACTCATCTGGGATCATCAGAGCCTTTTGAAAGCATTTTCTTCACTGAAGAGGTTGTAGAAAAAATGGTTTTAAAAGTTAAAAAAAAATTAAAATGGCCACGTCCACCCAGTCACATTAACCACCACCCCCCCACCAAGACACACCCACAGAACCAGTAGTAACAAATTTTAGATTTCACCACTGGTGTGCACGTTATCCTACATCTTGTGTACTGGCTTTATTGGACCACTTTGAAAAAATACTATACAAGGTAAGCCTTTACCGTGATCCAAGAGAAGCAGAAAATTATGCAGGTTTTTGTATAGTATAGCATGTGCAATTAGAATATAATATAATAAAGAAAGAGAAACTGAGGTACAAGGTTCAGTCTGCTTCCTAATTTCCAACTAGTTAATTTTGAGCTATTAGAAGAATCAAGATATAACCTGCACCTGGACCCATGGGATTGTGCAAACAAGGAAATTCAACATTTATTTCGAAGCTAATGCAAACAGACCTTAAAATTTTTACTTTTAATCCTTGGAGGTGGACAAAACTTACATTTTTCAAAAGCATATATTGTATATATTTAGCTGAACAAGGCCTCATTTCATCTCAACATTTTAGCAGAAGCTTTTGCCGTTTGAGTAGAGTGCATCACTTTTGCACAGCCACATTTTGGAAAAATAAGGCACAAATTTACTATGGCCTGGATGACTGCTGCCCTCTATAGGCCTTACTGCATAGACTGCAACAGTGAAAATCTAAAATAATACAAAAAGTTGAAGTCTGCCTATGCATGCACATATACCATATATGTTTTGAAAGATTGAATAACAAATACCAAAACTTTTATGGATGGATGCAGATTGCTAAACACATAGAGGGAAGCATTCAGTAGGCTAAATTGGTACCTAAATGTGTATACAGGTAGTCCTTGACTTACAAGCACAATTGGGACCAGAATTTTCATTGCTAAGCAAAGCAGTTAAGTAAGTCGTGCCCAATTTTATGACCTGTTGGACAGAGAGGAATCTTACACAATAGATATCATATTCCCCATCCAAAACAGCACAGTTGTATAAAACATGGGGTGGGCAAATATGTCCATCTGGGAAAAATAAAGGAAAAATATCCTGTTTCCTCCAAAATAAGACATCCCCTGATAAGCCCAATCGGGCTTTTGAGCGCATGGCAATAACACCAAGCGCTTATTTCAGGGTTCAAAAAAAATATAAGACAGGGAAACACGGTACTAGTATAACATACTAGTTACTATTTTTTTTTCTAGATTTTTAGAATAATATTTTATATTAGTATTAGGACATTGGTGGAGCCATTACAGTAAAAATAACCAAAAACCTTATAAATATGTACAGTAATCCTTGTAGAATTCAGAGTAAAATACACAAATTTACTTCACACTTCAATCAGAATCTCTTAACTCAAACATCAGCTAGCAGGGTGAGGTTGGAACTTTGACAGGTATGTTAACCTCATTTCAGAGGTGTCAGTCCTCTGTCAATACTGCTATTGAAAAAGAACAAGGGGGGGGGACTAGAAGCCCTGAGTGTGGTCTCTGTCAGCCAAGACAAAATAGCCATAAGACAGAGCCTAGCCGTCAGCAAAAGAGACAGAGACAGCAGAATTAGGTGGCCAATTAGAGCTGGACAGACCTTTGATTCTATTATTCTCATTCCCATGTCCATTGTAGATGGGTTTTATAGCAAGACTTGGGCCAGGGGAAAAAACACACCATTTTAACAATGGATGATTTCAAACTACTTCAGATTACCAGGTGGACATGTTAGCAAGGTATCTTTGGATAACAATCCATAGGATATGAGGACAAACCCATAGTCTACACTCTTAGTACGGAAGAGTAGATGGACTCTGTTTAAGTGTGTCATGGCTAGGAGGGAGTAGGTGCATTATTTACCCCATCTCACAAAATCAAGTAAACAATACTTGGGTTTATCTGAATATTTTGGTTTGGTAATTTCTTATGCCAAAACATACCATTTTTGAAGTATAAAATTATAACTAACCGTAATCATAAAGAGCAATTCAAAGCTCTCTTCATAGCATTCCAAAAAAATCCAACCTTTTACTGATCTCTTCTGGGGCTTTTTATAAAACAAAATATTTCTCTGCCTTTGCAAGCAACAAGAAAATTTCTTCAGAGCAGCTGAAAGGCATGTCTACATTCCCTCAACTTTAAGATCATGAGGCATGGCAAGAATGCTGCAGGGGCAGTAAATCTTGTAGCTCATCAACCCCACCCATCTCACTATATACTTTGGCACACCCTCTTCCCAAAAAGAGAACTTCCTATCTTGGGAAGCACCAACCTGGGTGGTTGACATAGAGCTGTGATGGCAAATCTATGGCACGCATGCCAGAGGTGGCATGCAGAGCCCCGTGGGCACGCACGCAGTTGCCAACTGCTCTTTTGGTTTTTGGTGCGCACATGCACGCTGGCTAGCTGGTCTTCACGTTTCCGGTGCTCCGGCACATGCAAAGACCAGCTGGCCAGTGTGCTTACGTGTGCCAGAAATCCAAAGACCAGCTGGCCGGTGCTCACATGCGCATCAGCCAACTGGTCTTTGGGTTTCTGGCACTCCAGCCCACGCATTTGCACGCACATACATACACATTCCGGTTTGGGTACTTAGTGCCGAAAAGGTTCCCCATCACTGACATAGAGGCAGGAGGGAGATCCCTTGCCCTCCCCAAGTTCCCAACTGAGGCCTTGTGGACTTGTAGAGTAGAACCAAATAATCTAGTCCCTAGATGCTATTTTAGGGTCTAAAAGATTAAGCTTATAGCATTTCTGGAATTTTATCATACATGTATCTTGCATATTCAGAATATCCATCTATCTATCTACCTACCTACCTACCTACCTATCCATCCAAATCCAATGAAATTTTCTACAGTGAAGACAGTCTAAACAATTATAGTTCTAAACTGTCCTCACTTTATTAGGATAGTGTAGAAAATTTCATTGGATTTAGGATGGATGCCAGTCTTTATTTATGTATCCATATAGCCACTATCAATTAAATTTCTATTAAGTTTGCTTAAATAAATCATATATGAATTTATACAGTAAAATTATACAGTGAAAATGGATTATACAGTGAAAATGTATTCTCTGTGCTCCTATTATACCTAAAAGACTGATATTGCAACATTGGGAAGATAAATGTATAGCCCCATTCACTCAATGGATTGAAGACCTAATTACACTTGCTATCTATGAGAGGACTGCCTACAGATATAGACTTCATATGGACAAATATAAGGAAATATGAGATTCATTTATACAAAGTACAGAATGTTAAAAAAAAAGCATGATAGTCATATAAGTGTATTAGAAACACACACACACTTCAATACCGTTTGCATTAAATAATTATATATAGAATTGTAACTGCATATTGTTCTAATAACATATTAAAATCTTTTTTCTCTCTTGTATCTTATTTCACTTATTTTTAAGGAGGATAATGTATTTTTGATTTCTTTTTGTGTTTATTCTTTTTCCTTTTTGTTATTATTTTACAAGCAATATTTTTTTAAAATATATCAGCAGATGTGGACATAATTATCTAGACCCTAGCCAAACAGTATATTCTATCAGCGCATGTTTATTATGTTAAATAAAACACATACATATGCTGTACAAAATGAAATAGCCTGTATTCCTTAAGAATAATTGTGTTACTATCCATCCCACCAGCATCCCAATGACCTCCAACATACCAAAACGTAGAACTATAGATTCAGAAACTCCTATTGAGTGTCAAGAGATGGAAATAAAGTGTACTGTCATTTCAGTGAAGGCTTACAAGACAAACCCAAAATTAAAACTGAGATAACACAAAATAGTTAACAGCACTTTAACAGCAATAGCCACTTCACAAATTAAACCTAAATCATTTCAAGTTTGTTTAAACCAAAAGGTGATACAAAGTTGCATCCATCCAGTCCCTAATATTTCAGTACTCTAGATTCTTATAAGGCATTCAGTCATTTCCATTTTGTGCAGTTGAACGGAGAAATCTGATTTAGAACTTAGTGTTTTTGTCCCATTGCTGGGAATGTTTCAGTCAACAGCATCTTCAAATTGGCCATCCTCTGTCACAGCTTTTAAGTGAATCAAAGTCAACGGTGCTACGTGATGTAAGCTTGGGTCATACAGAGGTTCTTCTTGAACGGAATAGGATGCCTGTCCATTGCCATTCCAGAAACTTCCACAGTAGATAATATCGTCTAAATCTAAAGAGGCAATTTGGGAACAATGTAAAAATACACTATATATATATTGTTGTACAATGCTGAAGTTAATATATATGTAGATTGCAAAATTATCCAAGCTAAGGTTCTATTAACTTCTGAAGAAATGCTTTATTATAAATATTATTATGCTCATTTATATTCAGTCCTTCCTCCAAGGAGCTTAAGCTAATGGCGCTGGGAACATGCTATTTTCTTCTTTGTTAAAAGAAAGAGTAAACAAAATGTATTCTTCGACCAGTATGATTAGAAAGCTCAGTTAACACACAGAAGTAAATATTACAGCAGCTATAAACAAAACTTATTATTCTAGGATTCAATTATCCACTTCATCCAGTTAAACCAGGAACAGAAGTCATAAAATCTTCATGTTACAGAAAAGTGTAACTAAATTAACTTTACAAAAAAATTGTTTTCAATTTCAATATAAATGCTACACATGCTTTTAATTTATAGGCCATATTTTATGAAGGACTACTAATCGACACACTGTGAAATCTTGCAATACTCAGTAACTCATTTCCTTTCCTTCTCCAATTCATACTTGCTGCTAAAAAATTTCAGCAAGTTCTCGTAAGAAAAAAAAGGATCTATGTTTGCTAGCATAAGAAAAATAATGCTAGAAACAAGAAAAATGTGGAATCCTTAAATGGTAAAATGCAACTCTTCTCCACATCACACCAGTAGTTTAACATTTTACAGAAAGGAATAAAAACATTTATTCACATTAAAAGAAGAAAAATCTTTACCATTTAGAAAAAATATTTCATCCTTGTTACATTACCTTCTGATAATTACATTAAATTCTGATTAAATTTCAGATGTCTACAGAATTATTGAAAACAGAGGCTTGTTCTTTAAAACACTTAAGAAATAAGACAAATCAAGATCAAAGGAACACAAAAATAATAATAAAAGTATCTGAGACAGTTTGTTCTTTTGCTAATTGAGCCAAAGGATAAAAATAGCACTACACGTGCCAATGAACCATTTGTTCACTGACCATTCAAAGTAAATGATGGTGCTAAACAAGTGGTACTAACAACAGGTCCTTAAAGCTAACGCCATCTCACCACTCCCAGGGTCATGTGATCACAATCTAAGTATTTGACAACTGGTTTGAAATAATATGTGCATTATGCCTATCGGTGTGTAATGTTTAGAATGGCTCCCTCTCTGATCACAGAATCAAGGGCTTTTCCCAAGAGCATTGGAAAGCTGGAAGATGGCAGCAAGTGGCAGTCATGCATGTCAATAAGTAAAGCAAAATGGTTGAAAATACAATTTTCTTGCAGGTGAACTCTCCAGTCCACTATTTGATATATGATTTTTTAAAATTACTGAACAGTCCAGTAGAACAGCATCCCATGAATCCCAGAGAACCTTTCTTTTTTTAATGGCAGTTGCATTTTTTATGTTTTTGAGTCAACCAGACAAATACGTAGCCCTATAAACTGAATAAATGCATAAACTATCTCATATCTACAGAAAATAAATATGTGATGTCACCACAGACACTTTTAAAATAATACACAGAACTATTGTTATTATGATTTTTATATTGTTGGCTTTTTGTATTGCAAATTTTTGAATTGTATGTTAGCTGCCAGGAATCACTATTGCAAGACAGGTAGCCCTATAAATATATTAAATTAATTAATTAGTCTATAATACCATAGTTTTACATGTCTTTAATTAGTTGACATAACCATTAAATAATAGACAGAATAGATGGTTAATGAACTATTATAGTTGTCTTCAAAAGAGAGGCAGAGTCATTACTCTATATTTCTTATCAGGGGTAGAACACAGAATAAGTTATTGAAAGTGTTATATTTTTGAACATATCCTTTTAAACAAATATTGGATCACCTATTTTCCTTAATTTAACATTTAACAGTAACAGAGTTGAAAGGGACCTTAGAGGTCATCTACTCCAACCCCCTGCTCACGCAGGAGACCTGTATTAGGGATTTGAACCACCGACCTTTCAGATCGACAATCTCAGTGTCTTAGCCACTGAGCCACCTAAATAACTTAAAATAGAATGCCTACCACACATTCCTATTTGGAAAAGTGGGACCTTTTGTTTCTATCATGACAAGACAGTAAAGAGTAAGAATTAGCATCCACTAGGATATAGCCCAATGATAACTGTATTACAGAAATATTGGGATCCTAAATTTAGCAGATTATTGGATATCAATTTTAACACTTGATGTTATCTTTTTATAAAGCTAGATCAGAAACACAAACACTAAGAGCGTATCTTTAGAAACCCTGTATATTTTTCACTATCAAATGCTATTCTTCCACTTCAAAGAATAAGTTAGTATATTATTATCCTAACATTATTGTAGGTATTGTATTTATATTACTTGATTAACAGAAAGAAGGATGGTTTGTATCTTGACTAAATGATTTTTTAATTCAAAACAATTATAAAACTAAGGTTACAGCTCTGGTTAGAAAGAACTTGTGTTTTCAAATAGGGTTTTGCAGAGAACTGTGTTCGTCATTGTGTTAACTGTGTTCACACAACTATTCTAAACTTAGCCAACTGTGTATATTTAAGAAAAAAATTACTGAAGGATTACTATGGAACCATTATCAATAATTAAAATGGCAATGAAATTAAACTATCAGGGGGACAAATATTTGTAAAATATGCAAAGGAAAGAAACTAAGGAAGCAGTATAAATATTGGAAAAAATCCTTCACAATTTATGAAAAATCTCAAAGATAATGAATAAAAAAAAAAGGAGATGTAGCTGCTATTCCAGTTATTTACTAGCAAATGACTAGGCCTTTCTACTTAGGAGTTTCTATTATTTAATCCCAGGCCAGAGTACAATTTTAAGAATTAATATATTTATATTCTGATAATACAGCTTCTGTCAAATTAATGATAGTGGAAGTGCTTAGTTGCAATTCTCTCTTCTCTCTTCACAAGCTCCTGGATAGTCTACTGCACCTCAGAATTGTCCCCGCTATAACATGACAATTATTTAGGACCAGAAAGGTAACCTGGATATCTTGCAGGGAGCCACACTTACATACAATTAGATTTCTTCAATATATAACTCTATGCACATTTAACTTAAATATATATATATATATAAAAGGTAAAGTTTCCCTATCAGCCGTATCTGACTCTAGGGAGCAGTGCTCATCTCTGACTCACAGCCAAAGAGCCAGCTTGAATAAAGCTATAAGCCTTATTTGTATCAGAGATTAGTAACATTCTAGTATTTAGATACAGCCTAGAACCACACTCCTGAAACATGACAGATACAACTGTGTTCTCCATTTTCTTATACGAAGTACCAAGAAATTCATGTATCAGTGCTTTAATTTGTCCAGTGAGGAGTCTGACAAATATATGATGCATTTTTCTCAGTCATTACGTTTCCTAACGTGTTTGAAAAAAATCATAAATAAGCATTCCCTTACCATAAGAGTTTTTATTGTTTTCAGAGTCTTCCATCTCCTTATCCCAGTCCTCTTCTTCATACTGGGTAACTGTTGTCATTTCAGGAAAAACAGTTTGAGTAGCTACATCGTAATCTTCATCATCTGATTGGAAGTCTTCATTTTCTGATTGGAAGTCTTCAAAATCATCAGAGTCCCCAAGATTACTTATTTTTGCCTCCACTTTTTCTGTTAGCCCTACAAAGAAAGTAGCCAGTATTTAAAATATAAAAAAAAATAAACAATCATAAGGATGATCTTATATACCGGTATTAGGGGGGGGGCAGAGATAAAGTACAATCAATGTTAGTCTGGCTCCATGCAATTTATTTAATGACAGTTGCATTTATAGCTGGGTTTTGACAAGACAGCAACTACCTCCATTTATTACCCCTTGCCCATTTCACCAACCAACATCAGGAGAAAGGATGGCAGTTACGGAGCCTGAATTAGCCATATGAACTGCAAAGCACGCACAACGAATACATTTTGCATTACCCTCAGATTTGCTGGATCAGTTTCAGGAACAATTTAACAATTTGCTAACAAATTGCTAACAATTTCAAATCCAGCAAAGGCCCAAGCCATGTATAAACATCTTATCTTTCAGCCACTATTAATTAATGCTAATGCAACATGCTAGGAGAACATTTGCCTGCACCGCTCAGAAACCCAGGTATGATATACTGTATATGATAATGCAGATTTAGTAACAGTTTTTAAAATCTACAGTGAGCAATTACTCATGTTAATCAATTAACTGCTCAGAAAAAATTAACTGAAAGGAAAAAAAAAAACAAGCCTTTGCCCAACAAATGTGATTTTTTTTTCAGGCTGTGGAAAAGAATACTTCCCTATTTTGGAAGCTAATTGTTTGCTTGATATATAAGGGGAACCAATATTTGAAAGTTAGGATTTCAGATGCTAGATGGAAAGAGATTGTAGTAAGCTATTTAGCCTTTTCTCTTCTAAATATCACATATTTCTTCACTTCACCTCTACTACTGTTTTTTCATTCAGATTCTTAAACAAATTGACCAATTGTAAAGCAGGAGAGCCCCCAGCAGTGATCTAATATCACCTAAGCTGCTAAAGGGAAATGCTGCTTTATAGGTCCCTTTAATTGTTTAAATACATTAATAAAACACTTCAAACATTTGATGACTGGAGTTCTGTAACCATTCTCCTTCTCTAAAATGGCAAAAATGGAAATTCTTCAGTTAGCCTACAAAATGAGCTTAAAACACGATATGTCCATTTCCTCATTATAAATTTTTGGATTGAGTATATCAAGATAAATTTCTAGCAGAATGTAAGGAAGGTAGTGAGTCAGTGTGCCAATTTACAATTTCTAACAGAAAAATATAAATGTGAGCAAAGTCACCCTTTATACATAGTCTTTATTTAAAACAATTCTTCAGTTTTATTTCAAGGGACAGACTCTGATGAAAAATGTCCCTCCCATTCATTGACCAGTGGCCACTCACTCTAATAACGATATAGTATGAACACACAATCACCAAGTCAGATGAGAATAGAGCTAGCTATCTTACTGCAGATATTCCAATCCATTGAGGCACAAAATAGGGTTGCGTTCCAGCACCCTGTGGTTCAATATTTATGTGGACCTCAGTGGTAGTTGCTCCAAACATCCTAAATTCCATCTAAATTCAGTGATAGACATTTGATAATGCCGCTATATGCCAATGAACCAACTATTCTTTTGCTTCCTAGGTGGCCCTTAAGAGAAGCTTAGGGCTTTAGCAAAATAATAACAGCAGGTTATAAAATAAATAAATATTGTAAAAAGGGAGCAACTATTTCCAAAACCAAGATTTAATCTTTCTGGGAAAGAAAGTCCCTTCAGATATCTATGGCAAATAGGAAATAATAATTAAACTGAACATGTTCCAGATTTTAAATACCTTGGCATAATTTTTTAAGCTTCCAGAAATTGAAGGGAACAAATTAGATCCATTGCTGCCAAAGTTAACAACAGTGCCAAGGCAATTCTGGGCTTTTTCCATTCTAAAGAGAGTAGTTCAATAATTGCTACCATCAAGCTTTTAAAAGCTAAAACTATATTTTATAACTTGTCTAGTCCACAGGTAAGTGCCTACAACGATCAAATGCCTTTAAGTACCATTTAATCCACAATAGTGATGATATCTGGATTTACTGATTAATAAGGGCAGAATATTAAGAGGAGAACCATGTTATATAATTATGAATAAGAAAAATGGTTTTAAATATGTTTTTTTTAATTAATTTATTTATTTATTTATTTATTTTTATTTTATTTAGACTTCTATACCGCTTCATGGTGCTTTACAGCCCTCTCTAAGCAGTTTACAAAGTTAGCATATAGCATATTGCATATTAGCATATTGCATTAGATTAGCATATTTTATTTTATTTATTTTATTTTACTTCAGATTTATATACCGCCCTTCTCCCTAGGGACTCAGGGCGGTGTACAGCCAAGTAAAAACACATGAATACATAATACATTAGATTAAGAACAGATTAAAAGGAAATATCTCAATTTGGCCCAAAATTTAAAAAGACAAACGAATTTAAAATCATTTAAAATCATTTAAAAGGATTTGTTAGGCCAGCCCGGCTTGTTGAAAAAGGAAAGTTTTAAGGGAACGGCAGAAGGCACGAAGGTCTTGGATTCTCCTTATCTCTGGGGGCAGTTGATTCCAGAGGGTGGGAGCCCCCACAAAGAAGGCCCTCCCCCTGGGGGTCACCAGCCTGCATTGCTTGGCTGATGGCACCCGGAGGAGGCCCTCTCTGTGGGAGCGCACGGGTCGATGAGAGGTCGTCGGTAGCAGAAGGCGGTCTCGAAGATAACTAGGTCCTATGCCATGGAGCGCTTTAAAGGTGATAACCAACACCTTGAAGCGTATCCGGAAGACCACCAGGAGCCAGTGCAGCTCACGCAGGAGAGGTGTTATGCGGGAGCGCCATGCAGCTCCCGTAATTACCCGCGCGGCTGCATTCTGGACCAGTTGGAGCCTCCGGGTGCTCCTCAAGGGGAGCCCCATGTAGAGAGCGTTGCAATAGTCCAGGCGAGAGGTGACAAGGGCATGAGTGACTGTGCACACGGAATCCCGATCAAGAAACGGGCGCAACTGGCAAATCAGGCGAACCTGACAATGGTCCCCCTGGTTACATCCGTCAGATGTTCCTCCAAGGACAGCTGCATATCCAGGAGGACTCCCAGATTGCGAGCCCTTTCTGTGGGGGCCAAAGACTCGCCCCCAATAGTCAGTGATGGAGTCAACTGGCTATATCGGGATGCCGGGAGCCACAGCCACTCAGTCTTGGAAGGGTTGAGCTTGAGCCTGTTCCTCCCCATCCAGATCCACACAGCCTCCAGGCACTGGGACATCACTTCAAGGGCATCGTTGGGGTGGCCTGGGGTGGAGATGTACAGCTGGGTGTCATCAGCATACTGGTGGTATCTCACCTCAAAGCCACGGATGATCTCGCCCAGCGGCTTCACATAAATGTTGAACAGAAGGGGCGAGTGGACCAACCCTTGCGGCAGTCCACAGATGAGAGGCCTCGAGGTCGACCTCTGCCCCCCTGTCAACACAAACTGCGACCGGTCGGAGAGAAAGGAGGAGAACCACCGTAACACGGTGCCCCCCCACCCCCAACTCTTCCAGCCGGTGCAGCATGATACCATGGTTGATGGTATCAAAAGCCGCTGAGATCTAATAGGACCAGAACAGAGGAGCAACCCCTGTCCCGAGCCCTCCAGAGATCATCAACCAACTCGACCAATGCCATTTCCGTGCTGTGCCCAGGCCTGAAACCCGACTGGAACAGATCTAGATAGGACGTTTCCTCCAGGAATTGTGGAAACTGTCATGCGACCACACTCTCAACAACCTTCGCCACGAAGCGAATACTTAGCCAATACTGCCGGGTCCAGGGCTGGCTTCTTGAGGAGAGGCCTCACCACCGCCTCTTTCAAGGCAGCAGGGAAGTGACCTTCACTCAATGAAGCGTTGATAATTCCCTGGAGCCAGCCTCGTGTGACCTCCCGGGAAGCCAGTACTAACCAGGAGGGACACGGGTCCAGTAAACATGTGGTCGCATTAAGTCTCCCCAAAATCCTGTCCACATCATCCGGAGTCACAGAGTCAAACTCTTCCCAGATAACATTCTCAAGACTATTCCTTGCCATCCTGCCCGGATCTACCCAGTCAGAGTCCAAATCCCACCGGATCTGAGCGATTTTGCCCCCAACAATCTGGGTCCTCATTTTACCCACCTCAGAAGGATGGAAGGCTGAGTCAAGCTTGAGCCGGTGAGATTTGATCTGCTGATGTGCTGAACTAGCAGTCAGCTGAAGTAGCTGCAGTACTGCACTCTAACCACTGCGCCACCTCGGCTCCATGTTTACTGCACTCGAACCACTGTGCCACCATGTTTATATCTGATGTGAAGAAAATCAGACGTGGCTTCCTTAAACTATATTCTTGTTTTCTTTTTCTATTTGTCCTAATATTGAAGCAGAGACATTTTGAATATTTTTCCTGTTCTATTTTTATTTGCTATGTTCTATTCTATTTTAGTTTATCTTATTTAAGGTTTCTTTTTAATTCCAATTTTTTAAGTCTCTTGTGACTAATTCACTGCTTCTATTTTATGTGTGATTATTTCTTCTGTGCTTCATCTTGCCAGTAAAAGGCTTAAATTAAGAATAAAATTTAGAAAATCGAACAGTAAGCCTAAATAGTTCGTTAAAATAAGCCATGTTGCTGGATTTTGGCTCATTGAATTAAACCATAATAATGCCAGATTGCATTTCACATGGAAGCTTAGACATGCCTAAAAAGGCTGCCAGCGACAATCAGTCACACTATATTTATGTAGACCATCTCTCACCAACTTGTTCAGTAACAACTCAGTTACTAATAGCAATAGCATTTAAACTTATATACAGGTTCATAGTGCTTTACAGCCCTAAGCGGTTTACAGAATCAACACATTGTCCCCAACAATCTAGGTCCTCATTTTCTTCATGCATTGAGCTGCACAACAGCTGAACAAGGCCTATGATTTACTCCAACATGCAAATCCACTCATGTAGTATATGTATTCTACAACTAAGCTACTGTTTCCTCTTCTAGAAATGCAGTTACTTTTCTCTAAGTACCTTTCCCAGGTCTCCAAATGAATGCCTTTGCCTTCTTTACTTCAACTTCCTCCTGTTCAGTAATGGAGGATCCATTAACTTCAATCTGCAAGGCAGAAATGCTTATTTTTAAAAATATGATCCCTGTCTATTGTTTTCATATAAATGCTCCCGAAATTGCTGGATAACAAATATAGCTCTTGAAAGTTGGATTAAATCTCTCTTTGTGAGAAAGGTTGGCCTTAAATTCCTGTTATTAAAATATGGAATTGTAAATGTATTTTAATGTTAATTTCATAGTGAGAATATTAAACTTTTAACTTGTTATGATGACTTCAAATATCTTCTTGAAAAATAAATCTTGTGAAGCTTGTAAGATCAATCATTTTATTTGTCATAAAGAAGCAGGGGCAGTTGCCATAAGAATACTGTTTCCTCAGTTCCGAATTGCAAATAATGTAATCATGAATTCTAAAACAGAAATTCTGCTTTTAATGTGTAATGTATGCTTGCCAAACCTGGATAAATAACTTAATAGTGGGTAAAAGTGAGGGTTTTTTGGATAATAACCCACAAAACCACTACATCAGGGATGTCAAACTCGATTTCATTGAGGGCCACATCAGGGTTGTCTTTGACCTGGGGGGTGGGGTGTGTGGCCAGAGTGGGCATGGCCAACTTGACATCACTCATGTTGGGGCGGCCTGTGGTGGCCTGAGTGCTCTGCCAATGAAAACGGGCTGTTGAGCTCCATTTTTGACTGTGACGGCCTCCTGCAGTCCTCTGCTAGCTGTTTTCGTTGCAAAGGCACTGTGGGCCAGTCCTTCAATGTTTCCAGGGCAGACCGTGGGCCAGATCTAAGCATCCTGTGAGCCAGATCCATCCCCCAGCCCTTGAGTTTGACAGCCCTGCACTACACAATCACAACAGATATATTTAAATACTTTCTGATAAGTAATTTTGAATAATGAAGAAAATGGTTGGGAAGCACTGATCTAAAGTAAGAAAAAAAGAAAAGCAAACACTTTTCTACCCAGATAGTTTGAAAGTGACCAAGTGACAATGCTGTCTAATTTTTAGGAATAACACTGAGAAATCCCTGATTAAAATGTAAATATTTTTTCAAGGAATAAAAATATCTACAGAAAATAGATGATTTCTCCAGATCAGGCATAGGCAACTTTTTGGACTGCCTGGCATGTTTTAGAATTTTAAAAGGGTATAATGTCCATTTACAAAATGGCGGCCATCAATGGATTTGCCTCTTCACAAAATAGTTGTCACATACATGTAGCTAATATATCTATCAGAAGAAAAACAGAGATTTTTCTGTTATACCATAGCCAAAGGATGCTCTCTATGAATTCAGAGTAGCTTTCTCTTTTTTTTTTCTAGATAAAACAGCACTGAGCTACACCATGCTGGCTTTCTAAAAGTGCTCAAAGTGCTGATACACGGTCCAGAAGCATTCATGCAAACAAATTTGATCTGGAAATTAAGTCTTTGCCATGTGGGTCTCTCCACATGGATGTATTTATTTAAAATTAAAAATAAACTTAAGAAAAGAGAGCATGGCTAAAGGAGGTACCATTTCCTACTATTCCCCAAAATATGAATGCCCATATAAAGGAACTGTGTCTGTTTAATTCAATACAGTGTCTACTTGTTGGCTATAGCTCTCCAAAATCCAATCTCCTAAAACATTAATGTGTTAATCATAAGACCAGAATTTTTATCTCTAAAAGTATTATCACATTGGAGTGTTCATGTACACAATCTAAAACATTAAACAGAAGGCACAGATTTAAAAAATTTTTTGTTAAATATAAGACAGCTAACCTGTAGAACATGAAGAACGGAATTTAATTAAATTGCTGCCAGGGATAAAAACTGTACTCAGGAATAAAAACATTTTAATTATATAGTATGTTCAAATAATTTCTGAAGGATGGCAGTTTGATTTTCACTGGGTTGCTCCCACTAGCATCTAGAATTCAAAAATTGACAGTAATAATCCCTGATGTCCATCTGATTTCTTTAAAAAACTACTGACAATTTTCAGTAAAGGTTCTTTTCCTAGCAATTTTCAAAGGAATTATTTGCTTGTAAACATACTTGGGTTCCACACTATAAGATTTCAGTTGACTGCATTTTCGTATTTCATTTTATGGGCATGGGGTGGGGGGAATGATGACATGACACAATGCCATGACTTAAGCAACCCTATCAGGGTTTGTAATGCAACTACATTATATTTTACAATAGCACTGTCTGTCATGAAGATATTATTGTAGTTTGTTACAAACACCATATACTCCAACCTAGTACCCTTTGTACGTTTTTTGAATTTTCAGCAAATCTTAAAACTGCTTGCCTAAGCAGTTTAGAGAAGTTCTTAAAGGAGCAATACCAGCAGGAAGCTTACAGCCTAGGAAAAAGCTAGTTATATCAACTCAAACTACTGTATAAAATGCATGTTCCTTGTTTCTTAGGCCTTGCTGTCCTTATTTGTTACCAATTAATTGTGCTACAACAATTGAAGTCACAATTAGCAAAATTGTCTGTAAATCTAGATTTAAAACCCAGAATCTTTTAAACCTGTAACATTCAATTATTCTGTTAACTGTTACTCCTTTTATTTCCCCTCACATCTTTTTTTTCAACATATCACCATCATGTTATTTCCTGGGAACCATAGTTTTACCCTACCCTATTACAGGTAGTCCTTGACTAGACAGTTCATTTAGTGACTATTCAAAGTTACAACGGCACTGAAAAAAGTGACATGACTTTTTCACATTTACAACATTACAGTATCCTCATGGTCATATGATGAAAATTCAGATGCTTGGCAACACATTCATATTTATAATGGTTGCAGTATCTAAGGCTCATGTGATCCCCTTTTGTGATCTTCTGACAAAGTCAGTGGGAAAGCCAAATTCACTTAACTGTGTAACTAAACAATTGCAGTGATTCACTTAACAACTATGGCAATAAAGGTCATAAGATGGGACAAAATTCACTTAAATATTTCGCTTAGCAACAGACATTTGGGGATCAATTGTGGTTGTAAGTCAAGGACTACCTGTACTTTCATCTCTTACCTTCCCTTGCATATATTCTTAAGCTTAGTATTACTTCTTTAGAAACATTTAGTTTATGTATTTATTTATATTTCATATTTCTAAACCACCCTTCTCCCTCAAAGATGAATGAAACTGCTATTTAAACATCTCCTTGTCTATTCTCACATCTTTCTCCCTCAAGATATTATTACTAAACCTTCTTCCACTCATCCAACTTTTTGATTCTCTATCTTTCTGTACCTATGACCTTGCCCAGTCCTTTCAATAAATCCAATTCTATTGCTTGGGTCCATGAAAGATTTAATTACACACCAAAATAATTTTTTTTAAAAAAAATCTGGGCTGTAAGTATTCTGACTACTCTGCTTTTCCAAGAATTTTAAATCTTACACACACTGCCTACCATTATTGTTCTTCAGTCAATCTGCGTCTAATGCTTCATCACACAGGGACTTTTTGCACTGCAGAAAAACGTGATGCACCAAATAAATGCCAAAACTGTTCAAACAGATATCAAACTGGAAGTTAGATGCAATGCTAAATAGGTCACTAGGAAGCCTATCAACATGTGTGTTTTATATGTCAGAATTTTAAATTAACAGTAGTGAGGCAGGGATCTTTTTAGCTAATTGGAATGCATGAGATAATTTCCAGATATGGCAACTCTGAGGCACAAATGTTTAAACATCCCTTCTTGGTGCTTGCTAATAATTAAAACTGATTCTTAACTATATAGCCAGTTTCATGTGTTACTATAGCCATATGATCAAAAAACAAATCAGAATGGATTTAAATATATCTAAAGAAACTGTAAAAGAGTAAAGTATGAAGAAAAACCATCCTTAAACTTCAACCTAATTTGATACAAAGATCAGATGATCTTCATGGCCATATGATTAGAATATGATGCCATACAGGGTATGGCAGTGTTTCTTCCACTGCTTGGAAGATGGGATGATCTGATCCCTTAATGCAGGGGTCTCCAAACTTGGCAACTTTTAAGACCTGTGGACTTCAACCCCCAGAATTCCTCAGACAGCTTTGCTGGGCTGAGGAATTCTGGGAGTTGAAGTCCACAGGTCTTAAAGTTGCCAAGTTTGGAGACCCCTGCCTTAACATATATTTTTCAGCCCGATGCCTTCCTGGTTCCAGACTTATAAGAGTTGTAGTCAAACATAGGTAGAGATTTACTGTACCGGAATGGGGAAAGCTTTTCTAACTTTTTTTTTTTTTTTACCTCAAGAAAGATTATGGCTGCCTAATCTTATTCAATTAAGTTCACTCAGCACTTCCACTGCATTTAAAAAACAACAACCTCCTAGTGAAATTAGCGTGCTTCAAATTTAATTAACTCTACCCGTCACGGATAGCTTTAAACGGTCGCCTGACCCACCCACCCAGGAACGCTCTATTTTAATTTCAAACGTTGTACTTCGTTACCTAGCAAAAAGCGGGAATATATAACGCATATTCCAGTGTTTGACAACGACCTGCCTGCTTATATATAATATAATATAATATAATATAATATAATATAATATAATATAATAATATAATATAATATAATATAATAATATAATATAATATAATATAATATAATATAATATAATATAATATATATATGCTTATACGTGCCCGACTGGGAAGCTGTGTAAGATAATGCAGATATTATTACCCACGAAAATCTATCTACCGGTATCTGCATTATCTTACACAGCTTCCCAGTCAATGGCACATATAAGCGGCCCCGCCGTTCTCCATTGAAGAATAAGCATTTCATTGAACCGGTTTCTAAAAACGTGTTTCCTACTATTGGGAAGCAAAGCGCTCCCCTCCTCCATGGGCGGCTAAATGTTCCCTCAAGGCTTGCAACTCCGCTGATCGGCTGCCGTCGAGAAATCCTTCGGCCCGCTTGGCCGTGTCCCGTCCCGTCCCACATACTCATACACCCCGCCATGCGGACTCTCGCCTCACCCTGCAATCTAGGCTACGCCCCTGAGGAGCGGCCGTCTCCATGCCCGGCCGACGGGGCTGTCTCGACTCCCTCCCCCGTCAGTCGGCCCAAACGGACCCTCCGCCTCCTCCTCCCTTCCCACGAGAAAACTCGGCAAAGGCGCGGCTCACGTGGCCAACCCAAGCTCTTTGCACCCCGTCCGTCGGCCGGGTCTTATTTATTTATTTATTTTAATCCCGCCCTTTTTTTTCTTTTTTCATACACAACACAAAGACGGCCAACGCGCACTACCCATAAAAGGAACTCCTCGACTTTACGACCACAATTGAGGCCAGCATTTATGTGGCTAAGTGAGAAATTGGCTTAACTTGAGTTTCCTCCCGTTTTTTTTTTACAACTTTCCGCTGCCAGTTGTTAAATTGGTAACATAGGTTGTTAAGTGAATCTGGCTTCCCATATTGACTTTGCTTATCAAGGTCGCAAAAAGTGGTCACATGACCCTGGGACACTGCAACCAGGGGTGAAATCCAGCAGGTTCTGACAGGTTCCGGGAATAAATTATTTAATACTCAGAAATGCTCATTTTTCAAAGGTGAACCCTGACATTGAAAACAAGTTTCTGACGTTAACATTCTGAAGTTTTCCCCCCATGTAAAAATCTACATTTTCAGAGCTTCCTGGCCCAAATCCTCGTTCTGTTAGCCATTTACCTCACAAACAGACATCTCAGTTTAACAATCTTGATTACTTATTTCAAATCTTTTCACAAATAATTGATCAGGGGTAGAAATCAAAAGTGGGAAAATAATTCAATGAGCTACACATCAAGAGATTCAGAAATTTTAGTCAAGAATTGCCTTTATTTCTTAGTAATAAAGCATATTTTTATATAGGTATCTTTGACTAGATTGTTATATGACCTCAGTCAATTACAGTTTATAAATCAGGTCACAAAATATCAGAGTATAAACCCAACTGCTTCTAAGGGCCATTTGACTTATCAATCAAAGTTATATACTACTATAAGTCTATCCTAAAAAGAAACTACCTGCAGCTCTTTCAAATGCACAAAAGGGATTACAATACAACTTGAATTCATCCATCATGCTAAAGTAAAAGGTGATTTTTGGTGTTATTTCAGAAATTAGTTATTTGGGGGGGATTTTACACTTCAAGCTTAGCCAAAGTATGAACTCAGCCACTAAATTATAAACTGGATTAAGCCACAATGGATTTGATTCTTGCTTTCTGATATGTGAATCCAGTTAAATAAAACTCTGTAGGCTTGATAATCTATATCAGGGGTGTCAAACTCACAGGCCGCAGGCCGGATGCGTCACATGCTGGCTCCACCCCGCCTGGTTTAGTGAAGGGAAAAAGTCCCAATACATGATGCCGCGAGTTTGACACCCCTGATCTACTACTATTCAAGTTCTTGTCATGACCTTTAACTGGATGAAACAGTGCATCATAAGGCAACAATTTTTGAACCAAAGTACTTCAAATGGGCTAATTTACAGAATGTGTCCAAAATCTGAGACTCATGACTCTTAAGAGAATGAAATTTGGGGAAGCTATGACTGCTTCAATGCTACTGACTGTTGCTGCACTGCTGCTGTGATCACTTGATCTCCATTTTCCATTAATAGTTTCCCAGCCAGTCTTGCAATCCTTTGCTCCCACCCCCACCCAGAGCAGCCACTTTATCTGCCTGCTGGGAAGGTAAGGAAAGAATGCCCCCTGCCTGAATCCCACAAAGAAATTTGGTGAGGAAGTCACACCGGCTCCCATTGCTTTTTTGCCTACTCTTGTGTCATTCTGTTTCTGTTTGGTTAAGGAAATATCTCTGAAACAAGGATGCAATGGGGCATGTGTTTTCTAGTACTGATCATTCACCAATTGCCCGATGACAACAACTTGTAAAGATTGTTCATTCATTTTTTTAAAAAAGCGCTTGAATCATTTTGATTCTGCTGTAAAGGAAAAAGAAAACATTGGAACCAGCTTGTTCTTTATGTTATCAGTTGGAAGAAGACATCTCTCAAATTTCACATTTCTAATGTCAGCCAGAAGGAATATCTGAGTGTTCACATTATATGAAATGGATGTTTAAATGGATGACTTTAACTGGTTATCACTTCTCCATATTTCTTTCAGGTTACTATCTACTAAATTCACTCCAGATTTTAGTCACAGCAATTGGACTGCGTTCAGATGATGATCTCTTTTAGTTCTAAGTAGATTCTGAATATTTAAAAAAACTTCTGAGAGATATCCAGACCACCAACTTTTTAGTCATCCTTTATAGCAGGGGTGTCAAACACGCATGTGATGGCGGTGTCACATGATGTATCGTTACTTTTTCCCCCTTTGCTAAACCGGGGAAGGGGAGCTAGTACGTGACGCATTCAGCCCATGGGCCACAAGTTTGACATCCCTGCTTTATAGCATCTCCTTACTAAGTATTTTCTACAGATAGCTACTCTTGCTTAGGCAATTTTTCCCCATTCTCTCTTGCAGAATCCTTGCATGCCTTTGAGACCTCCCTTCAGTCTTGAAATAATAGTTAAGTCTGGCAAGCATGGAAGACGATTCCAGAACCTTTATATTTATTTTCTATAAGGCTTTGCTGTTTGTTTTGGAAAAGTTTCAGATTGCTGTATGGCCGAAATGTCCAACCTAGAAGAAGAGATGATGTCCACACTTTTACACTTGAGATATTCAAATTTTTATTTTGAATCTGTACATAATGAATATGCATTCATTTTTTTAAAACAAAGAAATGTGCCTAACTTCAGTAAGGCTTTTTTTGTTGTTGTTCTATCTCCCTCCCTCCCAAATGCACCAAAATACTTTTGTCTAGAACAATTGTATTCCAGTTTGCATCTGGACCACACATGCATGTTTTGCTTTCTACACAAACCACCCAAAACTAGCTGTCCCTGGAACAATCTATATATGATCATTTACATTTGTTTGGCAGACAACTAATTTCTATTCACTAGCCAGAATGAAATCCAGTTCTATCACAATAATATAAAATATAAACAGGTCCTATCACAAAACAGTAGCAAAATAAACTCAAAATTAAGTTTGTTCTTCCACTTTCCTTGAAAGTATATTTATATGTATATTAATTAAAATCTAAAACTTACATTTCTGTTAACTCCAGTAATGTGGAGGGAATATGGATGTTAGGCAATTATTTAGTAGCAAATAATTTATCCAGGGAACATTTATTATACACTTGACTCAACTAAAAGCCAAGAGTTTCCATAGTTGTTAGATTAACAAACAGGATAATTTGCCATTAGAATAAAAAATAATTTCTCACAGGTGCCCAGCTTGCAGCAATGTATACTTTGAAATAAATGTTTCCACTTGTTCTCCCTGCAATATTTTCATAGCTCTCCAGTGAATACTGCCACAATTCTCTGGTTTGCCTTGAGAATGATTCAGCTCTTCTTTGATATAATCCAGCCAAAGATCTTCAATAAAAAGAAATCATAGTTACAACTGTAATAATGGAAATGCTACAAAAGAGGAGATTTCCCACTGCAAAAAACACATTGCCTATGTATTTGATTGGAATGTTGCAACTACACTGTATTCTGTAGAATGATCCTGGATGGATCAGAGAAAATGACTGTGGTGACTTATGGTAGATCAGAAACTGATGTGGACTTTCTGCATATGAATTACAATAAGAGACTGTTAATAGAGGGTTTTGAAATTTGGCTGCTGGTTTTATCTGTTAACTGTGTTTCCATATAGTAGATAGATGTCAGGCCAAGTGGGTTGTAAATTGTAGACATTTATAAATAGTGTGTCTGCTTCACAAAGGGGGAGGTGTATATATTTCTCTGAAATATATTTATCAGTATTCAATGGGGGGACAATTTATGTATATGTATTGTTTTTTCATGCACATTAGTGTAGTCTTGTTTTGCTTTGCTTTTGTATTTTTCTTTTTTTTCTTTTTGGAATTTGTATTTTAATGTTTTGAATAGAATAAAATTTAAAAAATGATGGAATGTTTCAACTACACAGCATTCTGTAGAATTCCAAGACAGACAGAAAGGAAAATCAGCAACTGCCACAATAAGCTTTGCTTGGTACATTTGGGAGCAGTAGTGGGTTTCAAAACCCGTCGCTACCAGTTTGCTCATGGGCGCGCACGCTTGCACGTGATGCTTCTGCGCACCGTCACCACTACCAGTTCGCCCGATCCGGGGCGAATCAGTAGCAACTCACCGATTGGGAGACTTGGTATCAGAAAGAACCAGGTGATTGCCACAGTTATAACAGAAAGACAACTGAGAGTAGTCTTAGAAACCAACAAGTAAAAATTCTTACCAGGTTCTGTAGCACCAAATTCTCTCAAGGCACGTTCATAATATTCTCGGATGTTAAATATTTTACTGGATTCCTTTAAAAAATGGTGGGTGGTTAGCATGCTGAACTTAACACACAATGATAAAATAACTGGAATAAAACACATTTGTCATGCAATCTCAATCATCTTCTGAAACTTTAGGCAGCTTTGATACATAAATCTTTTGGGGGCATTCCTTCCCACTTTCCTGGAGTAGGTTGTATGCGAACAATCCAGGCACAAGAACAGACTCCTGGCAAGTGAGATGAACAGTTCTGACTTTGGGATAATTTCTGTCTATAGGAGAGGAACAATAACAACAACAACTGTTTATAAATAATTCTGCATGTTTTTCTTGGTTTGGGAACCTGATAGGCCTATAGCTGCAGCATCAGGACCAAAAGGACCCTCCCTCTCCTTTTTTCCCCACCCACCCCCAACTATTGCAGTCAGGGTAGGAGTTTCAGCTTCTCTCATTTGAGGAGAGTATTATATTAAGCTCCAGGGTGCTCCCTCCCTCAAAAGACACTTACATAATGCAAAGACATTAATTGTTCATCCAAGACAACCACTATAACCAGTGTGTATGAAACATATGACATTTAATGTCTTTGTTTTATAGCATTAAGACATTTAATGCTTTAAAACAAAGATGAGAAACTTATGATCTTTCCAATGTTGCTGATCTACCATTCCTAGCAATAACAGCCGGCACTGGACTTCTTAATTGCAGTTTGGGAATATTTAGAGAATCCAGAAGTTCACCTCACCATCTTCATTAATAAGTTTAAGAACACCAACGGTGGTCAGGATTTTCAAGAAACTGGGCATGTGCCAGTAATCTGCCTGTAACATTAAGGATTACTATTTCCAGGTGGCTTTTAAAATCAGTTCAAGTATTTTACTGCGGCCCAGTCCTGGCAGAGCATGCTTTACAAAATAAAAAATGCCAATTCCATTAGAAACCTCACACTGGTAAATACCTCTACAAATATTGCACACTATTTATTCATTTATTTGTTCTATCTAATAATTGGTAAATATTTCACAAATATCACTATTATTCATTCATTTGATTTGTTTAGTGAGACTGGGTGGTAAACAAATTTAAAATAAAAATGCAACCATATAAAAATTAAAACACATGGTACCTGAGAAAACAATATATTTCATAATGACTAACACTACCAAGGAATGAATCCCTGCACTCGTTTATAATACTTCTTTACTTACTTGTTCCTTTTCAATCTGAATCATTTTTTTGAAAAACTGGAGTGAAAATGGGCGGCATTCCTGCAGCCTAAGAGAGAAGTAATGGGGTAAGGCATCTGATTTTAATAACAAATGGGGGTGAAGGAGTATAGAAAAAAAGTGATTGAATAATGCTTTCAAAAGGAGATGTCCTAACCTGGTGAAGACTTGCTTTGCTTTCTTATAGCCACCGGTCCTATGAGCCCATTCAAGGTACTTTTCTTTCAAGGCTATGGAGTCAGCAGGAAGTGTGGCAAGGAAAGATCTCTGCAGGTTAAATGTAAATGATTGTGAGGTCCATTAAATGACACAAAGATTTTAAGCATCCACGGTGGACTTTGAAACTAAAGTCAAGAAGATCAGTTACTTTGTTCCTTGTGATAATTACCCACACCAAATTGACTCGGCTAGAGGATATACATCGGCTGGCAATCTCCTATTCGTATTTTTCAGAGTATAAGATGCACCTTTTTCCCTCCTAAAGGGGGGTGAAAATTTAGGTGCGTCTTATACACCGAATGTAGCCCCGCCCACCCACTGGCCCCTCCCTCGCAGCAGTTACCTCCTTGCAAGCAAACAGCAAGAAAAACCAGCTCCTTTCAGCTTCAGCACAGCCTAATTAGCACAAGTTGATTGGATCGGCCTCCCTTTGCTCTCAGCTGTTTTGCACAGGGCTCTGCTGCTTGCTGCAAAGAGGTAAATTGCTGGAGCAGATTTTTTTTTCTTGTGCTAATCAAGCTATGCTGAAAATGAAAATGAAAGTAAAGCAGGCTGTTTGCTATAACGAGGCAAAATTGCTCAGAGGCAGAGGGAGATTTCTTTTTCTTCTTTTCCTCACCAAAAAAGATAGGTGTGTCTTATACTCCGGTGCGTTTTATACTCCGAAAAATACGGTAGTTTAGTAAACCTACTCTGGAGAGTCTACAACCAATCCTTGCTTAACAACTACTCATTCAGTGACCTTTTGAAGTTATAATGGTGCAAAATGAGGGAAACTTAAGATAGGTCCTCGTAGCTGCAGTTGTCTCAGATCCTTGTGGTCATATGATTGAGATCCCGGTACTTTGACAATCAGATTGCAATTACAATGTTGCACCATCCCATGGTCACGTGACTGCTATTTGCAACTTTCACTACCAGTTTCCAACAAACAAAATCAATGGGGAAGCCAGCAGGTCACAAGTGGCAATCATGAGACATCGCAATTAAACAATGGTTTGGGATTCACTTAACAACAGTGTCTGGAAATGATGGAACTGCATCACTAAGTGGCATGGTTACGTGACACATGTTACCATTGCGTTACTTAGCAATAGAAATTCTGGCCCTTGTTAACTGAAGACAATATTTCTGAAATAATTCATTTATAATTAAAGACTGTGCTTCGATATATTTATGTTACTCCATTTCAGGACACCATTTGTGATCTTATAGCAATAGCAATAGCACTTAGACTTAGACTTATATACTGCTTCACAGTGCTTTGCAACCCTCTCTAAGCAGGTTTACAGAGTCAGCCTATTGCCCCCAGCAATCTGGGTCCTCATTTTACCCACCTCGGAGGGATGGAAGGATGAGTCAACCTTGAGCCTGGTGAGATTCGAACTGCCAAATTGCAGGCAGCCGGCAATCAGCAGAAGTAGCCTGCAGTACTGCATTCTAACCACTGCATCACCGCGGCTCTAATATTGGTATGGTTATGTGAAATTAATTAATTAATTTCTTTATTAGCTTTTTGTTACTTTTCATAAATACCATATTTTTCAGACTATAAGACGCACCGGACTATAAGAGGCACATTAGCTTTAGAGGAGGAAAACAAGGGAAAAAAATCTGCCTCTGCCTCCATGGCCTGATCGCCACCGCCGCAGCCCATTTGCCACCGCAGCCCGTTTGCCACCACCACATACAGGCAGCAGCGATCGGCAGCAATCCCGGCCACCTAGAACAGCTGATCAGCACCGCACCAACCTCCTTCCCCCCCCACCGCAATATTTGCTCTAAGACACACAGACATTTCCACCCACTTTGGGTGGGGGGGGGGGGGAGTGCATCTTATAGTCTGAAAAATACGGTAACTCAAGGCATATAACTATTCCTAATACTCCTTCATCCTCCTAGTTTCTCCACAACAACTACAACAAAAATCATGTGAGACAGCCCAAAGTCACTCAGCCACTTCTCGTGTCTAAGGTGAGACTAGAACTCACAGTCTCCTGGTTTCTAGCCTGATGCCTTAAATGCTACACCAAACTGGTGTATTTCATACTCTTCCTAAATTTCTACTTCGTTAATGAAGCCTGTGTTTCTATTTCTGAACTACATACAGATAGTCCTTGATTTACAACCACAATTGAGCCCAAAACATCCGTTGTTAAGCAAGCCAATTGTTAAGTGACAATTGTTAATTGGCCCATTTTACAACCTTTGTTGCCACAGTTGTTAAGTGAATCACTGCTAAGTTAGTAACAGAGTTGTTAAGTGAATCTGGCTTCCCCATTGACTTTGCTTGTCAGAAGGTTGCAAAAAGTGATCATATGACCCCAGGACACTGCAACCCTCATAAATACATACCAGTTGCCCAGTGTCTGAAATTTGATCACCATGAGCATGCTGCAAGGGTCGTAAGGTTGAAGAACAATCATACCGTATTTTTCGGAGTATAAGACGCACCGGAGTATAAGACGCACCTACCTTTTTTGGTGAGGAAAAGAAAAAGAATCTCCCTCTGCCTCTGAGCAATTTTGCCTCGTTTCAGCAAACAGCCTGCTTTACTTTCATTTTCGTTTTCAGCATAGCTTGATTAGCAAGGAAAAAAAAAATTTGCTCCAGCAATTTACCACTTTGCAGCAAGCAGCAGAGCCGTGCGCAAAACAGCTGAGAGCAAATCAGCTGAGAGTCAGGAGGCCAATCCAATCAACTTGTGCTAATTAGGCTGTGCTGAAGCTGAAAGGAGCTTTTTTTTTCTTGCTGTTTGCTTGCAAGGAGGTAACTGCTGCGAGGCAGAGGCCAAAGGGTGGGGGCCAATGAGTGGGCGGGGCTACATTCGGTGTATAAGACGCACCTAAATTTTCACCCCCTTTTAGGGGGGAAAAGGTGCGTCTTATACTCCGAAAAATATGGTAAGTCATTTTTTTTCAGTGCTGTTGTGACTTCTAATGGTCACTAAACAAATGGTTGTAAGTTAAGGCCTACCTGTATATATTTTCAGCAAAACATTTTCAGAATTACAACAGTCTCATTAACTACAGATATGATGGCTTTATATCCTGCAATATATTTATTTTTAATGCGCAGGACAACATTAGTTCTAAAATTAATTTTTGAAATAATAGTGGAACCATTCTTACTCTCTTTCCCAAATTAATCTCACAGTATGATTCATTTTTTAATGGAAAATATGATACCTGATAGAGGGCTTCAGTCTCTGCTTTGCTACTTGCACCTTCACTCCATTCTAGCCATAAAGTCCATAGTGGCAACGTGTCCTACAAGGAGGAATAATAAAAAAACAGGAGAAGAAAATATTGGATATGAGTTGTATAAAATACCTGTAATAATGTGACTGGAGAATGGCTGGCAAATTTTGTAGCAGGCAAATTAAAAGGCACCGAAATTCCTGAAGTATAGGTAGTCTTAAATTATGACTACAATTGAACCCAAAATTTATGTTGCTAAGTGAAACATTTGTTAAGTGAGTTTTGACCCATTTTATGACTTTTCTTGCCACAGTTGTTAAGTGAATCATTGCAGTTGATAAGTTAGTAATATGGTTGTTATGTGAATCTGGCTTCCCAATTGACTTTGCTTGTCAGAAGGTCACAAAAAACATGACTCTGGGATACTGCAACCATCATAAATATGGGAGTTGCCAAGCATCTGAATTTTGATCATGTGACCATGGAGGTGTTGCAATGGTTGTAAGCATGGAAAACAGTCATAAGTCACATTTTTCAGTGCTGTTGTAACTTTGAAAGATCACAAAATGAACTGTTGTAAGCTGAGGGCTACCTATAATCTAGCAGAAAATATACTGATGAAATTAAGGAGCCTCTCCTATTGAAAGGGACTGGACTAAGTAAGCGAAGTCCTCCATTACACAGGCTATGCAAAAAGCTTTCAAAGGAACAATAGGGGAACTCAGAAAATAAGCTATGTTATTAGCTTATTTTCATGGTTTGTCTCTGGATCTTTATAGATAAGGGGTGTGGAGAATGCAATTGTAATAGTGCTGGAAGGTGTTACCACAATGGAATGCCATGGCCTTGATGACAAGTGCTTATCATTCTATGGACAAGCATAAGCAGGTACCCATACAGGCCCACTAGGGACAGTGGGACAGCCCACTGTTAAGTGCAAGAAGCAAATCAAAAAAGGTCTTTCATTGCCTCTACCAGGAACACTGCCAATTCATCTTTCCCTAGGTGGTGATAAAATGTGACTTTTTGACAATGCCACTGTCAAAAGTTAATCTTATGAATGGAGAGAGCATTTCAGATCACTAAGCAGATTCTGCAATCGTGCTAGTTACTTCATTTTAGACCGGGGTCACCAACCTTTCGTACCTCAGGGACCACTAAATTCATAATTTTAAATCCCGTAGACTACTAATATATATTTTTTAAAAAGATAAATAGTACTTAATGCAATATAAAAAATGCAAATAATTTTTCTACGGACCACCAAAATTTTTTCACGGACCACCAGTTGGTGACCGCTGTTTTAGACAATACAGACAATCCTTGTTTACGGACCACAATTGGGAGTGGCAACTCTATCACCAAGCACAGGAAATCATATGACCACGATGTCTTATGACCTGACTTCCCATTTGGTTTTTATGCAAATCGCACAGGTCATTAAGTGAGATATCACATGATCACCACTTGCAATTTCACTTCCACATTCTCCATTAATTTTTCTGGTTGGAAGCCAGTTGCGAAGTGCCTGAATGGCAATCACGTAACAGCAGGATACTAAAGATTAGTTGACAATCTTTTTTTTCCCCCAACTACCATATCTTTGAACAATCACTAAATGAGGCAGTCAATAAGCAAGGACTATTTGCATGCATTTTTACCTCATAGAGAGTAGTATTTTAGAATAGGGGTCACCAACCTTTTGGACCTCAGGGACCACTAACTTCATAATTTTAAATCCTGCAGACAACTAATATGATCTGTCTAATGACCAGCTGGATGGGCATGGCTAGGTGGGCATGTGATTGGGTGGGCGTGGCCAACTCCTTGCCTCCCCACCTGGGCTCCTTAGGGTCTCAACAGGAAGCAGTTGTTGAAGCTAAGCAGCCAGCACGAGAAAGAGTTGGCAAAATAGCTCAGTTCAAATTGGATCTGACCAATAAGGAGGCTCAGCAGAAGCACCTCATTGAGGACTACGAGCATAGGCTTTCCAAGTAGAGGGAAGACCTGTGGGAGTGCAAGGCCAGGTACCAGCACCTGGAGGCTCAGCAGGCTGATATGGTCAGTCAGTTCCAGGCCATGATGCAGTCCCACTGGAACAAGGTCCTCTGGCTCTTTGCCACCAGCAGCACTTCCCTCCAGCCTTCGCCCAAAGCCCCACACCTGGAGGCCAAAGCAGACCCCAAGTTGGAATTTCTGCCCCCCTCTGCCCCACACAAAAAGACCTTGAAGGGGGAGACTCTCTGCAGTAACACAAACGTTCATTGCACGTATCTGTCCAAGGGGCCGTAGTTTGAGGACTCCGGATTTAGTGCAATATTAAAAATGCAAATAATTTTTCTGCGGACCACCAAAATTTTCTCATGGACCACCAGTGGTCCATGGACCATCAGTTGGTGACCACTGCTTTAGAACTGCACACATTATTTTAGCAACTTATGCTACACTTTTATTAATAAGACTCCTTGTTATGATGGTATTCTATCTCACCCACTTGATTTGCCTTTTGCATTGTATATTTGGTAAACTTTGCTGGTCAATGACTCAATAAATGTTACTGTTACAACTACTTTCCAATGACTCTCATTTGTGAGAGAGAACTCCCAGGCTCTAAGTATTCCTTCATACAACTCAAGTGCAGAAGAGAGCTCCTACCTTCGCTTTAACCGCTTTGAAAGCCTCCTGGGCACAGGCAGCCACTTCATTGCTCTCCAATTTCAGCAGCAACTGCAGCCTCATTTCCCACATATCCACCAATTGGCTGAAACGGTTTGTGGCTGCCGCAGCCACCTCTCTGGCCTTGTCTTCATGACTGAGTTCCAGCAGGAGCTGAATCTGAAAAGATGCCACACCAAAATAAGCACCGAATGGTTGCTTCCAGGAATGGATTTCTAAGCTCCAAATCCACCCTTTCCGGTTTATGTGAGTAGGAGCTATTCAAGGGCAAGGACCACATCCTTCCTTACCCACTGTTTATAGAGAGAAGCTGGCAGCAATTGTGATTCATGAGCTCGGCTGAAAACACTCTGTACCCTTTCCAGTCTCTGAAACAAGATGGAAGGAATAAAAACACTTTTACTGCAGGACAAATGAGTCTTCATAAAATATCACAGAGCTTTTGAAGTCATGATGCTGAGTACTCATGGCTAAATTTTTCAGAACCGTGTGTAGTCAAAATGATATTATTTATGGCACCAAAAGAAAAAGTGGCGGGTTTGGGAGAATTTCAAGAACTGGACAAATACCAACAAAAAGTTTTTAAAATTAAGGGGGAAAAAATCTTCCACCCACCAGGCCGATCAAATCAGTGTTCCTTAGGGAACAATGAATCTTGAACTGACTTGATGGGAAGAGAAGGGGAAAACAGAAAGGATGAAAATTTGAAGATCCTGAAAACTGGCTTATCTGGCTGCTGCTCAAACACTACAGAGCATACCTCATCGTAAGATTTTGCTGCAGGAGCCACATAGCCCACAATCTTTCACTTGCCAAGAAGCACTCTTTTGCAGCCCTCTGCTGGGTCTTCTCAAATTCTCTTCCTCGCTACCGCAGCCATTGCCTCCTCTCCATGCTCTCTTGAACTTGAGAAGTGGAGGTGCAGTACTGGGCATGAATCTGTGGCCAGATTAACAGCCATCTACAGTATTTATTATTACATGCGGCCCTCAGGATTAAAAGACTGTTCAGCCTTTCTGCAAAGCAGCCAACAACTGAATACTTACATGTTACATCTATGATTGCATCACAAGCTGTACTAAAAACAGGAAAATCCAAGTCTACTTTTAATATTCTTGCATCATTTTTTAAAGTTCCCAGCACTTGTAAAATGTTATAATAAATCATTTTAAATATTATTTGTTTCATCTGTATCCTGCCTTTATTTTTACAAATTAGTTGGCAAACATACCTAATACTCCTTCCTCCTCTTATTTTCCCCATAACAACAACCCCCTGAGGCTGATTGGGCTGAGAGTGAGTGACTAGCCCAAAGTCAGTCAGCTGGCTTTCATGGCTAAGGCAGGACTTGAACTTAGTCTCCCACATTCTAACCTGCTGCCTTAACCACTAGACCAAACTGTCTTTCATTAGCTTAGCTTAATTATAATAAATATTACTGTATATCACAAGATTCTTCACAAATGCATCCTTTTAAAAAAAAAACACCAACTAGCCATTCATCATTAAGGGCATATATCAAATTTTTTACTTGCTTTTGATTTTGGAGCAAAATAGCCATTTTGCAATCCAACCTTAAAAATTAGGAGCCAACCAGATACTCTCAAGATGAGACTAGGTGTCTCTTTGTTTAAGTGAAGTACTACATTATTGAGTAATCAGAATAGGGAAGGTAGGTCAGAATATGCCTGTCCATCCTGCGTAGGCATATGGTATAGACATGGGATGGCAATTCTGACCATGCCTCATTAAAATCATAAGAACAGATAAGCACAGGCAAACTATACAAATTGAAGCCACACACATTCCAGATCATTGTTTACTTCACTGAAGTCTGTCTCTCTTAATCAAGTCTTAATATTCTATTTAATAAATCAATTTTCTAAAAGCTTTTTCAGGCTGGGAACTGAGTGACTTCCCAATGAAGTCCCTCCAGGAGAAATAGCAGCATCAATAACAGAAGAAACCTGTATTAATCCAAAGGCAAAGCATTTACCTTTTGCCGTAATTCTTCACTGTTGGTCTTCCGGTTACATCTTTCCAAGGTAAAAGTGACATAACACTTCCACATTTCCTCTGTGGAATTCAAAATACTTGTTATTTCTTCTGAAAACCCAAGTCAAATTTACTTGCATCTATGAAGCACGGTCTAACTTCTGAATAAGTTTCAAGTCAGCATCAGTTCTGCTAATTCATCACAAGACTCTTTTCCTCCTTCAGCAGATGTGGCATTACCACATTAAGCCTCACGAGAGCGCTGTGGTGCTCTGCATCTTCCTCATAAATCAGCATACAAAGCCCACTTAGCTTCCTTGTAGAAATCACATGCAGTTGACTTACAGAGACAATACCAAAGTGTGACAAGGAAACTGTTAAGGGCGCAAACTGCCATATAGCAATAGCAATAGCACTTAGACTTATATATCGCTTCATCGTGCTTTGCAGCCCTCTCTCTAAGCGGTTTACAGAATCAGCATATTGCCCCCAATAATCTGGGTCCTCATTTTACGGACCTTGGAAGGATGGAAGGCTGAGTCAACCTTCAGCCTGATGAGATTCAATCTGCCGAACTGCTGGCAGCCGGTGATCAGCAGAAGTAATCTGCAGTACTGCACTCTAACCACTGCGCCACCATATCCTTCTCATGTTCCTTCTCATTTCACTGCAAGAGTACATTAGAAATGGGTACTAAAAGATTTGAATGTGTGGACTTTAGGAAGAAAAAAAGTGGGGGCCTTTGCTGGATAGGCTCTATTAGTACAAAACTGAAATAAAGCAATTTGCAGGCTTAATGATAGGAAGAGCCAGCCTGCAAAAAGTAGCCCATAGGAGGAAAAGAGGTGTGGAAAATGTTTAGGAAGGGACGCTCCCTGGTTTGCTGAAAAATAAAAATAAAGGGAGGGGAAAGGAGAGGTGTTTTCAGACGTACAGGATTCTGTAACCTAAGCCTTACAATAAAGCTGGTGTTTGTACTCATAGTTTGTGCTTCTTCTCTGGACTACCTCAAAGGACTCACAGAAGGAAATCCAGATAAACACTTTGTGGACACATAAAGACATGGGTGGAAAGTGCTTATCCACAGTCCTTCTTAGATAAGTGGTAACAGGTGTTAATATCTGCTGAAATTCCAACTAAGTTCCCATATAGACAGTGGAGGTGGGATGAAATCATTTTGCACTACAGGTAGTCCTCGACTTACGACCACAATTGAGCCCAAAATGTCTAATGCTTAGTGAGACTGTTCTTAAGTGAGTTTTGCCCCACAACACGGTATGGCTTCCCTTGTCATAGTTGTTATGTGAATCTCTGCAGTTGTTAAATTAGTAAAACAGTTGCTAAATGAATCTGGCTTCCCCCGTTGACTTTGCTTGTCAGAAGGCTACAAAAGGGAATCCCATGACTCTAGGACACTGCCGCTGTCATAAATGTGAGTCAGTTGCCAAGTGTTTGAATGTAAATCACATGACCATGGGGATGCTACAACGCTCGTAAGTCTGAAAAATGGTCATAAGTCACTTTTTAGTGCCACTGTATCTTTGAACGGTCACTAAATGAACCGTTGTAAATCAAGGACTACCTGTATTTGCTGTTCTCAAATCCATAGCTTCAGAATGAAGTCAGAAACTCAGTTATAAGAATTGGAGGGTGGGGGGGAAGAGGAAACAAGCAAGTTTTAATATCCAGGGGGAAAAAAAAAGTCTAACCAGTGGGAAGGTGTGTGATTGCCTCCTCAAATACAACGCAACACCGCTCTTCTTTGCGGGCAACCTCTAAAGCCTTGGACTGTTTCGACTTAGGTTGTTCTGAAGGAGGCGGGGATTCCATCTCCAGTTCCCGCCGTGCCATGAAATCCCACACAAGAGGATCGTTGTCGTACGTTGCCTGCAAGCTAAAAGAAAAGTTGCACTATGCTATTAGCTATGAGTGACTCCCTTCCTATAAAGCTCTGGCATAATTGTGAGCGCTTTTGTTCCATAAAAGGTAAGCAACCATAAGCCGGAACGTTTTGCTTATGCTAACAGAACTCACACAATGTGCATAGAAACAAGAATATATCTTCAGCTATAAGTACTTTGGATATTCCGAAGACTGGCAAACTACTACGAGCTCTACACAAGCCAAGCCAAGCCGAGTGATCTGGGAAGGACGTGTTCCTGCTTCTGTGTTCTACATTAGAATTACATCCCTTCAGATGGTAGCAGTCACACTGACATGCTCATTGTGTTAAATACGCACATACCTCCTACAACAAGGGTGGTGGGCAACTATGGCCCCTTTATGACTTGTGGACTTCAACTCTGAGGATTGATGGCTGGCTCAGGAATTCTGGGAGTTGAAATCCACAGGTCGTAAAGGGGCCGTAGCTGCCCACCCATCCTAGAAAACGGGAAACTTTGCACAGCAAGAAATGGGTTAGATAACACATTTTCTTTTCCCATGCTAGAAGCCTTAAAAGGAATTTGTACACACCAGTGCTAAAAAACAGTTATCTCCTAACCAAAGCCCCTGCAGACACAACATAGTTATGAAGATCAAGGGCATTTTTTTAGTGCAAGGGAGATACATACCATAAATCCAAACAGATTTATGCTTATCAGTTGTTTATACTCAATTGTACTCACAGCTAAAATGATGGACCCAGAATGAAATGACTCGGGAGGCCCATCTGACCACAGAACTCATTTGATAATTTTATCTACTTTCTGTCTCAGCACAATAAATGTCACCATTGTACTGTTGTAAGAATAAACAAAGTGAGCTACAGCACACTGAGCTACCAGGTGAAAGTCAGGATGCCATAAAAAATAAATACAAATAGATAAAAGGGGGCGGGGGAGAGAGACATGTTCTTTTCTGAACCGCAGCTCCTAAATTATGTTGTTCCTTACTATTATTTTTATTTTAAGTCACATAATTCACGCAGGCACATAAGGCAAATCCAGACAATTAAATGGGCAAATAAATATTTTCGCACAGTTGATCGTGGCCCGAAGATTCTGCTGTTTGTGGATATAAATGGCAGATGCTATCCATCTTGGATAGCAAGATGGGCAATATATATGTATGTACGAAAATAAATAAAACAAATTACATCAGCTGTTAGATATCTGTTTAAAAGCAAGGCTGTGCTAATAAATGCCGAGACTTGAAGAAATTTTCCTTTTTTTATGGTATGCTAAACCTGTCTTCCTTTCCAAGGATTTGAAAAGAGCTTACATTTAAAAAGCTGCATTAGAAAAAATTCACAATAATCAATATCAACATATATTCACCAGAATATCAGAGTTAAAAACAACTGAGCACCCTGACTGGAAACAGAATATTTCAAAGCACAGTCACTTTTAACCTGTTTTCCCCAGAAGGGAGCAAGGCCGATGCTGCAGTTCTCACCTGGCTGAGCTTTCCAGGAAAAAAAGGGAATTTGAAAAATGGCTACAGCCTAAGAAATCAAAATCTGCCCAAATGTAAGCCACTGCCAAGTACTCAAAAATTTTACTTTTTAAATACATATTAAAATCTTATAAATTAAAAACAGAGCCAAGATAATAACAACACTTGCATTTTTGCACTGGAGCATCTTAGTTGAAGAGAAACAGGATTTGTTTTTGCTAGAGCCAAACCAAAAACGAGAGCAGGTTATACAATTAATCTAATCCTGACTTCTGGAATATGGTGAAATCATTTTAAGCCTTAAACATGCAGGGTCTTTTGGAGTAGACTAACACATGATAGAATAATGGCTGCTGAACGCTAAGAGGGTGCAAACCACACCCAGAACTTACTTTTCAAGAATTTCTTTCTGAAGATCTTGTGTAAAATCAAAACGTTTTGCAATTGACAGAAGCGATAGTGCAAACTCTGCACCTATAATGAAGATGGATATATTAATCAGGGTACTCTAAGCATCATAATCAGAATTGCAGCTCCCCTAATTGTACCCCTACCTCCTTTGGCATTCCTAGGCTCCTTGCCCCATCTAACAGAAATGGGGTGCTGGCATGTTGCAAAATAAACTCCCTGTGCCGTACTGTCAAGAAAATATTCAGGCCCTGTGATTTTTATCTAGGGTATATTTGCTGTGTACATTTTGCCTGGGTACATTGGTATTTTTCTCTTACTTATATGCAAATCAAGTGTCAGTAACTAGATTTTCTTTGAAATGAATATTCTGTTGCAATTTGTGACATCACATATGCAAATTATTATCCTCAGACTCTGTCTGTTCCCCCTATTCATTTTCTTAGCCAATTACTTGTTTCCAAGTCTCATCAGCATTAGCTACTTTGTTAATCAACCAATGACCCACGCTTAACATTCCAGATATGCTTATTGACCCAAAGAACATCAACGTTTTAAAAAATTGAAGCACGTCTACCCCAAACCCACAAAAGGAAGAGCATTTTTACCCTAGACAAATATTGCATAGAGAAAAGGTATCTCCCCAATGCTTGATGAAAATAGTTAGTCCTCGAGTTATGACCACAATTGAGCCCAAAATGTCTGTTGCTAAGTGAGACAGATGTTAAATGAGCTTTGCCCCATTTTATGGCTTTTCTTGCCTCAGTTGTTAAGTGAATCACTGCAGTTGTTAAGTTAGCAATCCAGTTGTTAAATGAATCTAGCTTCCTCATTGCCTTTGCTTGTCAGAAGGTCGTAAAAGGTGTTCACATGACCCTGGGACATTTGCCATTGTCATAAATATGAGTCCGCTGCCAAGCGTCTGAATTTTAATCATGACTGTGGGGATGCTGCAAGTGTGAAAAATGGTCATAAGTCACTTTTTTCAGTGATGTTTGTAACTTTGAACAGTCACTAAATGAACTGTTTCAAGTCGAATACTATCTGTATTTGCTCACTTATGAATTTCTGCATTTTTAGGACTCGTAGATTGCTGACTAGCTAATTCATCTAACCAACCATTCTGACCAGATTTTGATGCATCAAGAAGGCACCATTGAGCTGTTTGGTGTAGTGGTTAAGGCACTGGGTTAAAAACTGGGAGACTGAGTTCCAATCCTGCCTTAGACAGAAAACCAGCTGGGTAATCTTGGGCCAGTCACTCCCTCTCAGCCTTAGGGAGAAGGCAATGGCAAACCACTTCTGAAATCTTACTAAGGAAACTGCAGGGATCAATCCAGAAAGTTGAAAATGACTTGAAGCAACCAAATATTTAAAAAATTAAGATGAACTATACTCATTTTCAAAAATAAAAGAACAACAAAACAATGTACAAGTGGGTATGATTACAAGTTAAAGAGTAATAGGTTACCTTTGATTTTCTCAATTGCATTTCTGTAGACAATTCTAGCCAGTTCAGCATTAAGGATGTCCTCAGAAAAACTGAACTCACCCTACACATCAAGAGAAAACGGCTCTTTTATGATTAACGTTTTATTTCTTGGAATTTTTACAGCATCTGGCCAAGGCTTCAGCAGTGACACTCTGGAGGGCTGTAATGTTTGCATAAAACAGGGAGGCCAGATATCTCCCAATGTCAGGATAACATCGCATGTGCATGTTATTTCTATGCTTCCAGTATTCAAAGACTTTGTGAGCTTTACCACCACAAAACCCATACAAATAAAAACAGTGATAATATAAAAAAACAAAAAAAAAACTCCACCCCACCATTGTCTGTAAACATGAACATAATTGTCCTACAGGTAACCCACAAATGTAAGGCAACTTCAGGTTTCAAAAACCCTCAGCTATCTTCTGGAATGAGGCCAGAAAGCAATCTTGAATGGATCTCAAGGCCAAGCCATTTAGGGTTCTGTAAGTGTCAAACCCAACATTTTGGATGATGCCTATATAACCCTAGTGACAATTCCTGCAGTGGAATTTGGGAGGAATTGCTCTTATCTATCAGCAGGCCAGCGATTGCATTCTGTACCAGCTGTGGCTTCTGAGTAGTTATTTTCATACCGAACGTTCTCTGCTGTGGAAAAGATAACAGTCCCTTCTGGAACGGAACTCTACACAGAACAGAGACCACATGCTCTCTCCCTCCCTCTCTCCCTCTCTCTCCCTCTCTCTCCCTCTCTCTCTCTCTCTCTCTCTCTCTGGAGAAGGCCATCATAGAAAACAATTAACTGAGCTCAGAACTGAAGAGTATATTCCAAACTGACTACATATGTTGAAAATTGGCACAGCCATTTTCTTTCCTTTGTCTTTTTTTTTAAATAAAGGTGATTTGGCAGAATTAAACCATACGTCATAATCCACCAAAGGAACAATTTTTAAAAGAAAGCCTTATGGCATTCTGATCTTTCTATCATACTCTGTCAAACTTGATCTATCATTCCTAATATAAAGCAAATGATGGTACAGAATCTTGAACTCTAATATTCAAGTACTTCCTAATCAATTCCATCTTTCAGTGAGATTCAAATCAAGGCATCATATTCTTCTTTCCCTGATATTAATTAGCATTGCCATATAGACCTCAAAAATCATGCCTGGCATTATGGGGGGATTACAATGTTTCCATGTGGAATCAATTGCAATTGATTGGTGGGGCATTGTTAAGAAAAACAAGTATCTCTTCTTTAAACAATATCTCTAACATGGCCCAAGAACAGCATTACCACATCTAATTGTAAGTCATGGTTTACCTTTCTGGTGCAGCTGCTTTCAATGAGCAGTTGAAGGGTAGAAGAAAGGTTTTAAAAACAAAGACCTGTCAAACTCCAGTAATTTGCTAACAATGTAAAACATTTTTTCCTCGTCGGTTTTTGGTGCTTAGGTATTGGGAAGGCCATATTGTTTACCTGCTACAAAATCTTGGAATTGGATGGGTTCTAATTCAATGAAAGAAGAATCTAAAATAGATTTTTTTAAAAAAAAAACACCTGGTACATGTTTATACAAGTTATGACCTCTAGACGTGCAAATGGAAGCAATGAAATGTGATCTCATTTGCATCCCACCTTTGATAACAACCACTGCCTACTAATAAAATCCTTCCACTGTTTATCTGCTGTGTTTTCACATTCCTGATTTAGCAATGAAAGGACATCAAAATTAGGCAAGAAAAGAATGTGAGTGAATTTCTTCTTAGTCAGGCAATCTGCTTTGAAGCCCAGGTGTGCACGACAGATAGGTATTGTTGGATTCATTTATTAAACTATAGCAAGTGCAGGAAAGCACCGCACAAATATGCAGTAATTATTCTCACCACAAACTGACAGTTCAAATGTTTCCACTTGACAATTTAAATTAAATAAGTACCATGGAGAGAGAGAGAAATATTTTTGATAACAAACATAATGATTTCTTACTAAATCTATCTTTGCTTGCTCAAATTCTTTCTTCTCTTTCCTTTGCTTTTCTGCATGCATCAGCTCCATTCTAAAATACTAGGAAAGGAAAAGGAAAAGGAAGGGGAAAGGAAAAGAAAATGGGGAAGGGGAAGAGAATTAATAATGTATCAAGGCATTCAATAATTACAAAGAACATTATCATAGCTTCCTGGTTAAAAAGAGGCCCTTGTTAATACTGTGCTTAAAGCACTGTTAACTCAAATAGTCACATCCTTTAAGAATGATTGCAAGGACTCAAAATTATATATGCATCCCAACAACACTTTTGTCTTGATTACGCTGCAACGGTCATGAATGTGAGGCCATAAAGTTGCTTTTTCAGTGCTGTGGTAACTTTGAACAGTTGCTAAATAAGGCAGTTAAGCAAGGTCTACCTGTACACCCAAGAATACCTTATAATCTATAACTCAAAGATAAAATTTCCCAGCAAAGATGAACAACCCTGATGATATTTTATTTTTCGTGACCAGGAACAGATCATCTGTGTTTGTCCTATATGCTACTGCAGAGAGAGGAGGGAGGGAGAATCAGCTGCCTACCTCTTGATAAAGTTTAGGAGATTCTGGATGGAAACGCAATGCACGAAGGAACAACTGCCGAGCACTTTCTGATGACAGGCGGTCTTCCATCTCCCATTTTGCAGCCATGATCCACAAAGCTGATTAAAGAGACAGAAAAGGTTATTTAAGACAGTCAATACAGAATGGGGCATCAAACTAGAGGTTAACCCAAAAAGAAATGCTTAATCTTTGCTGTTTACAACAGCCAAGCAAGCATGGCCAAGGAAGAGGGAAGTTGTAACTCAGCAATGTGGGAAAGTCAGAGGTTCCTATTCCATGCTAGATAACGTTACTATGATTCCTAGACAAAATGATGCATTGTATACCCAATTTCATATTTCAGCATGGGTCATGTATGTTTCATTTCTGTAACACTTTTAGAATAGAATAACAGAGTTGGAAGGGACCTCGGAGGTCTTCTAGTCCAACCCCCTGCTTAGGCAGGAAACCGTACACCACTTCAGACAAATGGTTATCCAACATCTTCTTAAACACTTCCAGTGTTGTAGCATTCACAACTTCTGGAGGAAAGTTGTTCCACCGATTAATTGTTCTAACTGACAGGAAATTCCTCCTTAGCTCTAGGTTCTTTCTCTCCTTGATTAATTTCTACCCATTGCTTCTTGTCCTACCCTCAGGTGCTTTGGAGAATAGCTTCGCTCCCTCTTCTTTGTGGCAGCCCCTGAGATATTGGAACACTGCTATCATGTCTCCCCTAGTCCTTCTTTTCATCAAACTAGACATACTCAGTTCCTGCAACCGTTCTTCATGTTTTAGTCTCCAGTCCCCTAATCATCTTTGTTGCTCTTCTCTGCACTCTTTCTAGAGTCTCAACGTCGTTTTTACATTGTGGCAACCAAAACTGGATGCAGTACCCCACGTGTGTCCTTACCAAGGCATTATAAAGTGGTATTAACACTTCACGTGATCTTGATTCTATCCCTCTGATTATGCAGAGGGACAGAATCCTTCTTGAAATACATTCGTGTCAAACCACTTCTGCAAAAGCCAGAATTATCAAAAATTCCCATTGTGTGTGTGTGTGTGTGTAAAAAATGTGAAATTAAACCACATTTAAAACAATACAGGTAGTCCTTGACTTATAGCTGGCCACTTAGCAACTATTAAAAGTTACAACGGACCACCCCAAAAGATACTTACAATCCAGTTCCAAAGTTTGCAGCATCCCGTGATCACATGGCTATAATCTACCGCAGATTTGTCAAAAGCTAGCATTTACTTCCAGTTCATAGCAAAAAAAGCCCCATGGTGAACAATACATTTTACTTAATGACCACAGCATTCATTTAACAGAACCACCAAACATTATACATTATAACATTGGGTCTAGTTCCATAATCTGCTTTATGACCATCACAACCATAATAGGTAGGCTTCATTATAGTCACAAGTTGAGGCCTACCTGTAATTAAAAACATATCAGAAAAACCTCTCACACCCCAGATATCCTCAACTTCATCAGCCAAATTCTGTTTATATGTCCTAGGACTAGCAATTAAAAAGGTTTGTGCTTCTTGCAGGAAGAATTATGGACATGGAGATAACCCATGTACCTGGTTTGTTGGGATGAAGGGCTAACATGGAAGAAAACACCTTGCTCAGCTGTATTTTCTTGTTCTGTAAGGAAACAGAAAACATGATTGTAGTTACCGTATTTTCCGGCGTATAAGACGACTTTTTAACACATGAAAATCTTCTCAAAAGTCGGGGGTCATCTTATAGTTCTCCTGTAACCAGGCAGACCAGCCCGAAAGGCTCTGACGAGCCTTAAATGGCTCTGGCGATCCAAGCTCTGACGATCCCAGCTGAGTTGCCTGCTAATCAGGCAACGCAGCTGGGATTGCCAGAGCCATGTAAAAGGAAAAAAGTTTTCCCCCTCCAGCTTGCTTACCTTAGCTGCTAGTCGCAACGCTTGCCTTGCTTCGCTTGCCTGAATCCATTCCATCAGCAAGCCACTCCCTGCCTGCAATCAAGCAGGCAGGGAGTTGAAGTCTACAAGTCTTAAAGTTGCCAAGGTTGGAGACCCCTGTTCTATTGGGTAAGTTTTTTTCCCCTTTGGGAGCTTTAAAAAAATAGTTAATTGGGGGTTTTTTTAGTTGTTCTTTTTTACACCTAGCCATTTAAAGTTTAGGAAGTTTTAAATTTAGTTTTCATATAAAAATAAAAATAAAATAAAATAATATTTGTGCAGCTTTCTGAGATTTAGTGTGTTTCTATAGTGTTTCACTCTAACTACACAAACACAAAATCTCACAAAGCTGTATGTGGAATTTTGTGTGTGTAAAGTGTGAAAGTTGTTTTTTTGGGCTTTTTGTGGTTCCTGCTTGTTGCAGGGGCCATTTTGGGTCTAGCACAGCTGCTTTTACATTTGTGGGTGAGCCAGTTGTGTTGTGTTGTGTGTGTGTAAAATGTGAAGTTGTTTTTGGGCTGTGTGGCTGTGTGAGGTTCCCGCTTGTTGCAGGATTTTGGGTCTAGCACAGCTGCTTTTACATTGTGGGTGAGCCAGTTGATGTTTTTTAATTTTTATTTGGTGTGCGTTGGAAGAGGGGTAGTCTTATACGGCGAGTATAGCCCAAACCCTATATCTTAACAGGAAAACTCAGGGGTCGTCTTATATGCCAGAAAATACGGTAAGCATTTCAATATGAAACCAAATCATTTTCACTGCAGAGGATATGAATTTTCTTGATCTAACAGGAGTAGAGACAGATGCAAGCCTTCAATGGATTGAAGCAAGAATTGAACTCATTGTATCTATATTTCCCATAATTAAAATTGGGAACAATTAAATAGCACTAAATTTGGAAAGGAGGAGTAAAAGAAACAATATCCCTAATCATCCAGAAATGTACATATTCTCTTACTTCTTGGCAGATTGTATGAGTTAATTGACTTAGCTTAATTAACAAACAAACCAATTTTGACTCTACAATTTTCATATAGCAAAGACTCTCCAGCAATACTTTTGATGTAATTTCCAGAAGAGAAAAAGGAATACTTTACTAACAGCGTAAGTCCCACAAACGGAGTATCAAAATTAAGTATCTTGTCCTGAATGTCTATTTGGCCCACAACTGATGGTTTTGCTTCCTGCCCTTAATTAATTCCTTTGGAGATCCAAAGCATTTTATACTGCAAATGCTACATTCAAGATGCATATTCCAATAAATGGGACAGTGCACTGCTGTATAAAAATTAAAAGGAGGAAGCTCAGTTCAAATAATAAAGTACAAATTGTTTACAAGAAAATTATATCCACTCACCCATTCCTTGCAAAATGCAATATGAGACAGCCACAGCTGAAGGTCATCCTGTTGAAGTGAGACAAAGGGAAAAGGAATCAGCTGACAACTCATGACCACTCATTCATTCCAATGCTCTCTAGATCATCAGGAATTGGGAGGAAAAGAAAGAGGGAGGAAAAGAGACAAATAAAGCAAGCATTTTGAAATTGGAGATGCCTATACAGATACAAGTAGTCCTCAGTTTACCTACATTCGTTCAGTGACTATTCAAAATTACAGTGATGCTGAAAAAATGAATGCAGGATCAATATTCAAAAGCTCCAGTCCCTGCTATCACACAATCACGATCCGGCCATTATAGCGCCCTGCTTGTGATTATAACATCACAGGGAACTGTGTGATCCCCATTTGCAACCTTCCCTGCCAACTTCTGATAAGCAAAGTCATTGGGGAAGCCAACAGGAAAGGTCACAAATCGCTCTGGTAAGTCACTCCTTCCTGTGTGACCTGCAGTGGATCTCCCAAACCCTTCCCCAGCCTCCCTTAACTCACAGGCAACCTATGCTGGGCTTCTCCAGTCCTTCTCCAATATCCCTTGACTCATGTGTTGCCTGTGCTAGGCCTCCCAAACTCACTCCACCTTCCTGCAATTCTTACCTGGGACTCCTGCCACTTTTTTTCTTTGCACCCTAGGAGAGAAACATTTGCCCCTACCTAGGATCGAACTCTTAACCTTCCAAATGGGAGGTGAGAGACTTCGCCATTAGACCACTACACCGCTCATGGAAAATATCTAACAATGTTTAGAATCTATATAGAAATTGCTGTACTTTAAAGCTTCCCTTCCATGCTTCACCCAGGTCTTGCTGGAAGGCAATCAATGCCATGTAACACTCCACAAAACAACTAAATGAAATTAAACTGCAATTCCCATCACTCCTGTCATTCTGGGGAGGGAGGGTATTTACAGGTAGTCCTTGGGTTATGATGGCAATTGGGACCAGGATTGACGATACCAAGTGATGTAATCCAGGAAATCCCAGTTGCCATCATAACCCCAAAACATACAGGTGTTAAGTGGAAAGCAGTGGGAGTCCCAGGTAAGGAGCATGGGAATGCCCCCCCCCAGGTGGGGGAGGTCCTGTGTTGGTCTCATGTAAATTGGGGAAGGGTATGCTATAGTGCTGCATAAACACAAGGAGGCCAAGGGAAGACATGTGAGATCTGCACTAGTGCAGGGAGGCCAAGAGAAAGAGGGCATAGCAGAATGCACAGGAAAGCAAAGGTGGAATTACCAGAGCGACTTGCAAATTTCTCCTGTCCACTTCCCCATTGATTTTGCTTGTGGGAAGCTGGCAGGGAAGGTTGCAAATGGTGATCATGTGACTACAGGACACTGCAACTATTGTAAACACAATTTGATTGAAAACACCTGAATCATGATCATGTGACTGCAGGGATGCTGCAATGGCCAGAACTCTGAGGACCAGTTGCAAGTACCATTTGTTCATTCACAGCTTTAAACAGTCATTGAATAAGTGACTTGTAAGCAAGGACTACCTATATACCTGTATAATCCCGTGTCATATATTTTATAATGAAAAACAGGAAATTCAGTACTAAAAACTAGATACAGCCACTCCTCATTTAGCAGCTACCTTGTTTAGCAATTGTTCAAAACTACAATGGTAATAATAAAAAATAATCATTTTTCTGGCCAATGAGCTTACTTACTACCTAGCCAAATGTCATGTGCCTGCCAATAACACACACTGGTGAGCTGTACAAGAAAACTTTATCTAAATAAACATGGAGAGAGTGCATATGCTAATTTTTGATGTAGATATCTGATTCACACATAAAGATGATTTTATTTGTTTATTTTTAATAGTATCCAAAAATTAGAAAAAAGCAATTTCTGTAATAACAATAGGTTTACCTTCCATTTTGTTGTAGCACGCTTGAAAACGCCATGGATTCTTTGCACAATGGAATATTCAATCTCTTCTTTCTTAAATGAATATCCTATGCGCTAAAGGAAAAGAACAGATCTGTCACTGGTACAGATTTTAAAATCTCCATACGCTTTTTCAAATGATCAATCCCTGGGTAACTTACCAGTCTTCGTGTTTTAATCAGTTCCAAGAGGTTGATTTCATACTGCGAGAAAAAAGATCAACAATAATTCAAGGATTACCATGCTGAATAGATTGTCACTGTCAAGCTTTACATTTTTAGCATTTCTAGAACGTATAACAGTTACAAGTGAAGCACGCTGCCAATAACACAAGTGATTAATCAAGAATTACTCTAATCCCCCAATCCAATAAATTAATAGCAGTCATTTTTGAATGCTGATTCTTAGGCAGCCAAGTACTATCCACACTAATGAAGGTATTTGCAAGATAGAAGCCCAAGATTTACTGTCCTGGTCTTTCCTGGCAAGTATTAATACCATTTGGGAAACCCCAAAGTTTGCAGAAGGCTAAGAAGTAAATGGAATGAGAGGATCAACCAGCAGTCTCAAAAGATACTATGTGATCAACAGCCTGATCAAAAATACAGGTAGTCCTCAACTTACAACAGTTCATTTAGTGACCATTCAAAGTTACAACAGCACTGAAACAAGTGACTTATGACCATTTTTCACACTTATGACCGTTGCAGCATTCCCCATGGTCACATGATTTACACTGGGATGCTTGTCAACTGGTTCATATTTATGACGGTCGCAGTGTCCTAGGGTCATGTGAACACTTTTTGCAACTTTCTGACAAGCAGAGACAATGGGGAATCCAGATTCACTTAACCATGTTACGGTACTAATTTAACAACTGCAGTGATTCACTTAACAAATGTGGCAAGAAAAGTCGTAAAATGGGGCAAAGCTCACTTAACAAATTTCTCACTTGACAACATAAATTTTGGGCTCAATTGTGGTCATAAGTTGAGGACCACCTGCAATTCACACTGTAAGATGTAGTTGTTACCCCCATTTATAATCATTTGGCATTCTAAAATAAAGAAATGTTATCAATTCAGCTTTGTTCTGAAACAGAACAAAGTATCTGTTTGTAAACAGAATGTATTGTTCAGGTTACTCACCTGCTTAGATCCTCATGCTTTGTTTGTTTTATTAAATTTATATATTGTCCATGTCCCCAAGAGATTCTCTACTTAACTGCTTCCCCAAAGGGGAGGGAGGGGAGAATATAACAAGGTCTACCCATCATTCCCTTGCAGGGAAGCTTTGCTCCGCTTTCCTCAATCTACTTCCATCAGTCTGCAGCGTGGCTCATTTGTATGAACGAATGTACATTTTCTGTATTCCTCTCCTAATAAGCACATTTAATGTAATATTATTTTTTCCAATTAATAATCTATTAGGCCTGCCACATCTCAAATAATCTATTTTTTATAGGGAAGGATCATAGCTGAGTGACAAGTAATCCCTTCATAAGCTCCCAGTGAAATACCTCTAGGTAGGACTGAAAGCCTGGAGAATAGTAACGCTAAGCAATATTCAGCAAAGTGGGTCAACGGCTTGGCTCGGTGCAGGTTTCTTACATTGTTAACACACCTTCAGATCTTGCTGAATTCCAAGCAGTCCTAGCAAACATGGAATCAGAACCAAATTCAACAACAATCTGATGAGTCACACATTACCCACTCCAATATAGCTGCTTTCTCCTACCTCCTATCTTCATGTATGTACAGATAGTCCTCACGACCACAACTGAGCCAAATATTAATGTTGTGACACATTTGTTAAGTGAGTTTGGCCCCATTTTACAATCTTTCTTGCAACAATTGTTAAGTGACACACCGCAGTTGCTAAGTCAGCAACACGGTTGTTAAGTGAATCTGGCTTCCCCATTGACTTTGCTTGTCAGTAGGTTGCAAAAGGTGATCACGTGACCTTGGGACACAGCAACCGTCTTAAGCATGAACCAGTTGCCAAGCATCTGAGTTTTGATCACATGACCATGGGGATGCTACAACAGTCATAAGTGTGAAAAATGGTCATAAGTGATTATGAGCCTTGGTGACGCAGTGGTTAAAATGCAGTACTGCAGGCTACTTCTGCTGACTGCTGGCTGCCTGCAATTTGGCAGTCAAATCTCACCAGGCTCAAGGTTGACTCAGCCTTCCATCCTTCGGAGGTTGGTAAAATGAGGACCCAGATTGTTGGGGGCAATAGGCTGACACTGTAAACTGCTTAGAGAAGGCTATAAAGCACTGTGAAGCAGTATATAAGTCTAAGCGCTATTGCTAAGTCACTTTTTTCAGTGCCATTGTATCTTCAAATGGTCACTAAGTGAACTGCTGTAAGTCAAGAACTACCTGTATACACCCTTCATCAATTATTCACAAAATTTGCTTTTAGAGTGACAGGAGGCAACATTCCCTCAAATTTCTGACAAACCAAGCATTTGTGCACAAATCAATGAACAAACTGCAAATATAGGCAATAGAAAAATGTTGAAATGTTTACATACTTCTTAGTTAAAATACAGAAGCTGGAAAATGGATCAGTATGTCATATACACACTTGAAAGTTGTGCTTCAAGTCATTTTGAACCCATACAACCTGCTCCCTGCACTTTTCTTGGCAGAATTTTTCAAAAGTGACCTGCCAGTTCCTTCTTTTTAACATGAGAAGTGACTGGCCCAAAGTCACCCGGTGGCTTTGTGGCTAAGGAAGGACTAGACCTCCTAGTTTCTAACCTGATGCTTTAACCACTGCACCAAAGTAGATCTATATGCTTACTGATTATACTATAAACCTGCTAGCCACTGATACTTGCAATCAATATTTTGTAAGCATTTTAAATTCTTCTTCTTCTTCTTCTTTTTTTTTGCAATTTGAAATTATGATGGAAGAAAAAATAAAAAGAAAGAAAAGTGTTATGTAAAAAAGCATTGAGATAGACCCTTCTCTCATTTTTTCTCATGCTTCCTTTCCTTTTCTAGATGCATTCTGAATTTAATTCAATTTATTAAACCTGTTTTGGAGGAAGGAGGGAAATTAAACCTTGGCAGGGGAGTGCTCCTTCCTGAGCTGAAGGCTCTGAGGACCAGGGCCGGTCAGCTACCACTTCAAAGGTAAGGAAGGATTGCTGTCTGCCTTCTGTCCCAAACTCTCCCAGGCATAAATTAGCTGCTTTGGCTTAACTCAGCAGTGATGCTTCCTTGGTGCTACTGCAGCACAGACTGAATCCTTGCTCAGTCCCTGGCAGTACCAAACAACCCACACAGATGTCTTAAACTGAGGCAATAACTTTGTACAGGACTCGTTGCAAGTTCAGAGTTTTACATGCCTAATTATTATCATTCTTCAAATGTAATGTTGTGTACCCTCTACTTTTACTATGTATATGTGTTTCCTTAGAATGCATGCACATGCATGCACACCTTGGAGGGAACAAAGCTGGTGGTGATGAATATTATGAGAATAAAGTTCAAAACATTTGGGGGGGGGGAGGTTTGGGAAATTATTTTATTGCTCTAAATCTGCATTGAAGATATAGAACTTTGTTGCAGCAAAGATCAGCAAAGTTATGAATACCACAAAATTTGAGATTGGCGTCATTTGCCTTAACATCCTAAAGACAGGATGTAATAAGAGTTCTGAAATAGGTCAGAACCTACAGATATTGCAGATTATGCAAAAAAACACCCATCTAAATCTAGAGCTGACAACATAGGACAGAGATCTTCAAACTTGGCAGCTTTAAGACTTGTGGACTTCAACTCCCAGAATTCTCCAGCTAGCATAGCTTAAGCATAGCTTTAAGACTTGTGGACTTCAACTCCCAGAATTCTCCAGCTAGCATAGCTTAAGCATAGCTTTAAGACTTGTGGACTTCAACTCCCAGAATTCTGGGAGTTGAAGTCCACAAGTCTTAAAGCTGCCAAGTTTGAAGACCTCTGACATAGGATATAGGGTCTCCTGCTTGAGCAGGTGGTTGGACTAGAAGAGCTCCAAAGTCCCTTCCATCTCCATTATTCTGTTATCAATATAGGTAGTCCTCAACTTACAACCATTTGTTTAATGACCATTCAAAGTTACAATAACAGTGCAAAAAGTGCAATTTTTACACTTACAACTGTTGCAGCATTCCCATATTCACGTGATCAAAATTCAGGTGCCTGGCAACTGGCATGTATTTATAATAGTTGCACAGGTCATGTGATCAACATTATTCTTCGCAGCCAGCTTCCAACAAGCAAAATCATTGGGGAAAGCCAGATTTGCTTAATGACCGCATGATTCTCTTAACAACTGCAGTGATTTGCTTAACAACTGTGACAAAAAAGTTGTAAAATGAGGCACAACTTACTTAACAACTGCCTTCCTTAGAAAAAGAAATGTTGGGCTCAATTGTGGTCATAAATTGAGGACTACCTGTATGCATTCTCCCTACTGACCTCCAAATTTCTAAAACTTTAAATAAAAAAGGCATGCAAAATAGCCTGAATTTACAAGTTTCCAATTTTCCTAAAATCTCATGAAATATAATTGATTTCAATTATGTTTTCTATTTTCCAAAATGTAAATGCTTTGGGAGGTTCCTGTGACATCATCAGAACTAATGGAAAGACTGTTTACCTTTCCCCTAAGTAACATTTTATCGCATCCCATTGCAGGTTCACTTGAAGAAAGAAACAATTTGAAGTAGTTAGAGGCAGAATAAACAATGTATCATAGATGTATTCATATCAACAGATAAAAATACACAGAAAAAGATCTGTGTGAGAAAACTACCTGTATATAACTAATGAAGTCCTTCTTATGAAGTGCTCTCCGCTGTATCTTATATTCAAGAGCTGAGACCTTCTTAATGACAGCCCTGCAAAAATGAAGGCAGAATTCTTTCGTAAATTCTGATTCATATTAATAGTAGTTTTAACTGTTCTGTCATGTCTGATTTTTGGCAACTTTATAGGCAAATGCTGTCCATGCTACCCTGTCAAGCACAGCTTCTTTCAATTGTTGGAGCTGATGGAATTTTTTTTATGCAGCTAATTCCCCTGGACAAGTTGTGGCGTAACATAGGTGGAAGATGGAAGGGTACCCATATATAAATACAGGTTGTCCTCGACTTATAACAGTTCATTTTGTGACCATTCAAAGTTACAATAGCACTGAAAAAAATGACATGACTGTTCACACTTACAACCATTGCACCATCCCCATAGTCATGTGATTCAAATGCTTGGCAACTGGTTCACATTTATGACAGTTTCAGTGTCGGGGGGGGGCTGTGATGATCTTTTGTGACCTTCTGACAAGCTAAGTTCCTGGGCAAGCCAGATTCACTTAACAACTGTGTTACTAACTTAACAACTGCCGTGACTCCATTAACAATTCTGGCAAGCAAGGTCATAAAATGGGGCAAAACTCCCTTAAGTGTCTCACTTAGCAACAGACATTTGAGGCTCAATTGCGGCATAAGTCGAGGACCACCTGTATATATCTTTTTCCAGCAAGCCAGGCTGGCCTAACATTTTTTAAAATGTTTTTAATTGTTTGTTATTGTTTTTAATCATGGGGCCAAATTTATATATATATTTTTAATTGTATTTTAATGTTTGTAGTTTATGTTTTTACTTGGCTGTTCACCACCCCGAGTCCTCAGGGAAAAGGGCGGTATACAAATTTAACAATCAATCAATCAATATAGGACTTTTAGGATGTCCATCAAGAAGCCTTTAAGAAGCCTCTCTTAAAGTGGTCTTATGCATTTGTATTGGGACTAAAAGAAATGCCAATCCACCTGGAAGACACAAGATTGGAGAAGGGGGTATAAAGCCACCCTTCTGATGGTTTATTCTTAATCAGAAAGGTGTCACTGCAATGTCCACAAGAAAAAAAATTGGTTACAGAATTATAGATGTCAACTGGTGCCAATTTTTTGGAGATTATCTATAACGATTTTTGGAAAAATACATTTACTCACATACTTATCGGCTCTCCACTCATGTAAATTAGGGAGTGACCCTAACGGCTTGAGATCATGTATTTTCATAACAGGGATGTTATTATTCACTATTAATGTCAGTATTATTTTTAATTTATTGTATGTCTATTGCTGGTCGATGACCGTAATAAAGTTTATATTCTATTCTTAATCAGAAAGATAATGCTGCAAGTAGAAGCATCTAGGGCAGAGGTCCCCAAACTTAGCGACTGTAAGACTTGTGGACTTCAACTCCCAGAATTCCCCAGCCAGCATGGCTGGCTGGGGAATTCTGGGAGTTGAAGTCCACAAGCCTTAAAGTTGCCAAGTTTAGAGGTCCCTGGTCTAGGGTCTCCTTCCACCTTCCCACCCTTCCCTAGTTATTGTGAACGCCCCGCTTCCAGACCTCCGCTTTTTACCTGACTTCCTTACGAGTGAACAGCCCGACTCTCTCCAACTGCTCTAGCTCCGGAATTCGGTCCTCGATGCGTTCTTCGATCCTCTCAGCCATAACCAGCAAAAAGCGAGAAGCGTAGCTCTAAGCCGGACCGAAACCCACGTGGAGCGCTCGCCCTCCGCTTCCTGTAGCGACCAGCCAGCTACCTCGAAGGGCTGGGCCGCTCCTTTCCTTTCCGTCTAAAGCGGCGCGGGATTCCCGATGCTTCCACCTTGCGGCTCCTGGAATAATTGCAGCCTTTCTGGTTTCGGACGGAGGGGGGGGAAATAATAGGGATACGCCGTCTGTGCTGCATGTTGGCTATAAGTTATTAGGAAAAAGAAAAATACTTGTTTAAGTTATTAGGAAAAAGAAAAATACTTGTTCCAAAGAATGGCAGTAAAATTCGAAATGGGAACAACCCAGTTCTACCATCCAGGGTAATTATCTGTTTGGGATGGAGGAGATTTTCGCGGTCCCAGCAGCGCTTGAATTTGGGACTTTCTCTGTACTATTAACAGAATTGAGAGAGTGTGATGGGATCGATCGTTAATGCTTTGCTTAGAAAACTCGCTTTCTTAACAGGAAGAAAATGGCATACCAGTGAGATGTTTTCCACTTCCAGCTTTGTGTTTCTGAGTGTCAAAACCCTGTTTGGTTTATGCACTGCTGCAGTTGTAGGCTAGGAGCAAACGTCGCATCCATTGTAGTCAATTTATCTCAAGATAGAGAGAATCAGAAGGAACTCATGCCAGGTAAAGCAGAATAAAATCCATGTTGGTTGTCTGGACCTGCTTGAGGAAGATAAGCAAGAGGCTTTCTGATCATATAAAACACAGATTTGAGAAAGTACTTGGACAAACCAATAGCCACAGAATTTTAATACAGGTAGCCAGCGATTTATACCACAATTGAATCCAAAATTTCCATTGCTAAGCCAGTCAATTGTCAAGTGAGTTTTGCCTCATTTTATGACCTTTCTTGCCACAGTTGTTAAGTGGATCACTGCAATTGTTAAGTTAGTAACACAGCTGAAAATTCAGCACCTGAATTTTGATCACAGGGATGCTGCAACAGTTGTAAGTGTGGAAAAAGTCATAGGTCACTTTTTTCAGTGCTGTTGTAACTTCAGACAGTCACTAAATGAATGATTTAGTGGTCAAGGACTATCTACATATTTTCCCTGCTACGGTTGTTTCACTGATTCAAGTGGCCATATTATTTCCACAATAATAAATTATCCATAATTAATATGATTAACAAATATCCCAATTCAATAAACATTTTTTCCATTATTTATTTACTCATAAATTTTTGTAATGCCAGATATGTACCAGTATATGTTTTCTATGTAATATTATGCAACATGCTTCACTAAATTTGTTTAATGGTTTATATTCATATGTTTTCTGTATTACAATACACTGCAATGCCGGCCAACTGGCCACTAAAACTATGTGTGAATACTTCTCAGAATTTTAACAATTCCATAATGGGGCATAGTTTTCATCATAGCAAAGTTGAAACCATTCTATATGATCCATAATTGTTAGAAAGAAAGCAATACAGGCAGAACAATATAATCTTAAAAGTGTTCCATTCTCGAAGTTCATAAAAGCAAATTGCTGAAACAGAGACAATAAGCAACAACCAAGAAGTTGAAAATGCTGGGACAAATATATGGATGATGTTATTTTATCTAAATATATAGCACCTGAGAACTGGCAAGAATATTCTGCTTCTAGTTATCTTAACACAATTAACATTATGGACTGTCAAAAGTATTCAGACCTGAGTAACAAATGCAGTGTATGTAGCAGGCAAGAAAGAACTTGATTTGTAAGAACCCTGCTCAGTAGATTTGGAATGCAAACTAAAATGCAACTTGACATGTCTTTTGTTCCTGCCTCCTTCAGAAAATCTCCTGTAAATGTTTCCCATGTGCCCCTAAGTTCACCATTTGAACATATAACAAAAAATTAATAGGTGAAGGATCCTTTTTTTTAAAGTAGCAGAGACTAAGGTCTTAGACAAAGGAATAACGACTAGATGGCAGTAGCTGTTCTTCATTCGTTATTGTTATTACAATGTTTTAACCACATATTAATTTTAGAATAGTTTTTCTATCTTGGGCAAATGTATCAAGACCTTTATGATATTTACAGTACAAATTCTTGTAAAGTACATCTGTCTACTGCTCTAAGCTTCTACCAAAATATGGGTCCATAGTCAAATAAATATGAATAATCTGTATTAATCTGCATCAGAATGATCACTTTAACCCATTTGAATGTAATATAAACTATTTCAAGACATCACATTTTATATTAAGAGAAATAAAAATTTAACTATTTTTCCAGTACAAGAATTAGTGGCCCAATATCCTTAAATAATCACATAAACAGAGTTCTGTTATTTCCCAGTATCTTCTTTATAAAATCTCCTTGTGCTTCAAGAAGAAACATCAGGTAATCTCTAGTCAAAACATGCTTCTCTACCAACAGCAGTTTCAAAGAGGCAACACTAAAATACTCTAAAGCAGTAAATGTATGGAAAAAAATATTATAGAAAATGATGTGTCTTATTTAGTTAAACTAGCAAGCTTTGTGTTTATATCAGCAGCAATCTATAACACAAGTTTTTGAATTTTTATCCTGACAAATAGCTAGGTCCAAAAATTGTGGGATTTTTCTCCTTTTGAAGAGACTAGATTTCAGATCTTACATAATATACTACTATATATTAACAACCTGAGCATGAATTTTTATGAGTCATCTTTCTTATTATTCATTCAGACCCAAAATTAACTGTGCCTTGGTTCCATCTGGAGGACAACTATGTAGGCGAATCATTTTCTATAGGTTATGACGTCAATTTTCCCTTAAATACCAAATATCATTCATGTATTAACTGCTGAAATACAGGATGCAATCTTATAGCTATTTAAATGAGTGCAGTTTTCACTGAATTCAGTAAAATGTACTTGTAAGATTTTATCTCTCATATTAGCTACAAATGAATTAAGCCAGAGACCTGTTATTTTATCTATTCATTAATATTAATTTATATTAGAAAATTTCATGTTCTGTTAATCTACATGGAAACAGTAATTTTTCCCTCTTGCTCCTAAACCTTTAACTTAAATATTAAGTTGCCAATCCTATCCTTTTCACTATAATTCCCACTTAAGTATCTAAAATTAATCTTCCAATTCCAATGCCAATAAAAGACCTGTTATGTAATTGAAATAATGAATGTTTGGAACTATCCCAATGTCTGGGAATTTCCATGGAAAACAAATTTTTACTATCAATACATAAGTTAGTTGATTACACTGTTTTTTTACATTGGAGAAAATGGAAATTTTTGAGTTATACTCTCATAATATCAAGTCAAGACAGCTGGTTTGCTGTACTGTGGGGGTTAAGACAACAGGATAAAAACAAGCATACAAAGCCAGCTGGATGACCTTGAGCAGTTCTCTCTCGGCCCTGGGAAGCAGATAAGGACTACCCATGTCTGAAAAATCTTGGCATGAAAACTAGTCCAGGAATTAAAAACTGTCTCAAAGGAACACACATTAAAAAAGAAAAAAAACCTCATTGGTTTCTAAAATGGATGGTAAAAAGGTCCCGAATCAGGCAGATGGCATATTTATTTCTTGGAAATCTATCCCACCTTCCTCCAAGAGCTCGAAGTGACACACACTGCACCTCCTACACTAATTTTCTTTACAAGTCAATGAGGTAAATTAGGCTGAAACAAATTGTCTGAAGACTCAGCGATTCCCTCAGGCAAGTATGGACTGTAGTCCAGCCTCTTAAAAACTAGAGAATGATAGGTGACGTTTATTGTATTACAAGCTTGATCAAAACTGTTTGCTGCTTTTATTTCTTATCATGTATTAATTAACTGCAGTCACTCTAGGTAAGAGGTCCATTGAACACAACAAATTTATTAAGGAGCACAGTAAAAACATCTGAATGTTTATTATGCGGGTATCCAAAAGCTCAACCCTGTTGACAATTTAATTTCATAAACATAGTGAGCAATCACATCGCTTCCATAGAATTTCACTAGGACAAACTCAAAGCATAGCCTGCATTTGTTTTTTATTTACTTTTTATTTATTCTTCCAATGTGTTTGTTTCATACTCTAAAAAGAACAGCTACCTTATGGTAGTTTGATCATTATCAATAGTTCACCTGCACAAGATAGAAATTACAATTTTGTGACATGTAGTTGTTTAAATTACATTTAAATTACACTTAAATTTGCATTTGGGTTGTGTCTCGGAGATCTTGTGAAGAGAAACATTTTGCACCTTCCAAGCTTTGTAGCATCAATTCTAAGGAATAACCTTTACATATAATGTCCATCACTTTTGAAGGTTAGAAAGGGCTCAAAAGATGATTTTTTCCCCGCTCAGCGTATTTTTGTTTTCACCAGACAATGGAAGGAAAGACGCGTTAAACGCTATCCTGCAACTAGAATATGCTCGCAACAGGGAGTGGAGGGGGAAAAAAAGACGATCATCGATCGTTCCCAACGAGACATTAATTTCTACTGGTAGAATTTGACCAAGAGATAAGATCTCAAAGATGGCACCCCAAACTACCCTCCCGCAGCACGTGTAGGACCAGCTCTACTAGCGCGTGATCGCTTTTCCGCGCGCTCAGATTTTCAAAACCGTTCCGCGAAGACACGGACGGAATTTTCACGCCGCCGTTTGCCGCCGCTTCTCTTAGCAATCCGACACGCGTCGCTGGTTCGAAGAAGAGCAAACCCAGACCTCCAAGTCGCGTTCTTTCCCATCATGCACTCCGGGGTGGTGGGGGGGGTGGAGGAGGAAGGAAGAGACGAAGCAGCAACAGCTTCGTTTTCCCGCGAATTCAGTTCAAAGGAAGAGCGAGGGGGAGGGGAAAAGGGAAGCTCCCGGCGGTGAAGCGCGCGGTCCAACCAAACTCTTGCAGAATCATTCTGCCGTCATGGCTGGGCGGGATCTCCGTCGGCCAATAAAGCGGGACGGCGCCATCGCGGGAGCCAGTAGGAAGGCGGCGGAGGGGGCGGGAGCGGCGGTGGCGGCGCCGTCGGGTTTGGCTGGGCGGAGAGGGCGCTTGAGGAGAAACCGAGCGGGGCTACTCCGAAAGAGTTGAAGCGCTTCC